AGACATTCGAATAGACATTCGGACTTTGATTGCTTCTTACAAAAAAACTATAAAATATATTAAAAAGATATTTCATAGAGAGAAACATAGAGAGAAACGTTGCCTCGAAAATTGATCAAAACCGCTTTAGACTTTACGAGACCCAAAAAAACATCTCTATCTCATCAATTCTAGTTGATTTACAAAGTTTCAGTTGATTCTGAAACAGTTTTTTGAAAGTTATTGCGGGACAGCGGCACATCAGATCTGAGTTATAAGGCTTCAGTATGGAGCTCGAAAAAGCGTTGCCTCAAAAATTGATCAAAACCGCTTCAGACTTTACGAGACCCAAAAAAATATCTCTATCTCATCAATTCTAGTTGATTTACAAAGTTTCAGCCGATTCTGAACAGTTTTTCGAAAGTTATTGCGGGACACCGACTCATCAGATCTGAGTTATAAGGCTTCAGTATGGAGATCGAAAAAGCGTTGCCACGAAAATTGATCAAAACCGCTTCAGACTTTACGAGACCCAAAAAAACATCTCTATCTCATCAATTCTAGTTGATTTACAAAGTTTCAGCTGATTCTGAACAGTTTTTCGAAAGTTATTGCGGGACACCGGCACATCAGATCTGAGTTATAAGGCTTCAGTATGGAGATCGAAAAAGCGTTGCCTCGAAAATTGATCAAAACCGCTTCAGACTTTACGAGACCCAAAAAAACATCTCTATCTCATCAATTCTAGTTGATTTACAAAGTTTCAGCTGATTCTGAACAGTTTTTCGAAAGTTATTGCGGGACACCGGCACATCAGATCTGAGTTATAAGGCTTCAGTATGGAGATCGAAAAAGCGTTGCCTCGAAAATTGATCAAAACCGCTTCAGACTTTACGAGACCCAAAAAAACATCTCTATCTCATCAATTCTAGTTGATTTACAAAGTTTCAGCTGATTCTGAACAGTTTTTCGAAAGTTATTGCGGGACACCGGCACATCAGATCTGAGTTATAAGGCTTCAGTATGGAGATCGAAAAAGCGTTGCCTCGAAAATTGATCAAAACCGCTTCAGACTTTACGAGACCCAAAAAAACATCTCTATCTCATCAATTCTAGTTGATTTACAAAGTTTCAGCCGATTCTGGACAGTTTTTCGAAAGTTATTGAGGGAGAACGACTTAGGTAAGTTTCTACTTGAGGGGTTTCCTCTGAGTTTGTTGTCGTTTCCTACAACTGGCGATTTTTGCTGTTATTTGATCTAAATTAGAGATACTTTGCTATAAGGGTAGGTTTTTTGTACTTTCAAGTCGATTTAGATGTTTCACTTCAAGTATTTAGGTGTAGGTCGCTTGAAATGAGGGCCTGCTACGACATCGCGAGGGTCGGTCGCCATTTCAAACTTGGATCGTGTCAAAACTTTTTGAGGTTTTTTCCTTATTCTAGCAATAATTTCGCGTATCTTCTAGAAACAACTATCAAAACCAACGGAAAATCCAGCAAAGTTTCTGTCATTCAAAGGCCTTTTGGCTACTTGCTTTACTTTTTTTATGCGAATCGGTTAAAGTCCGAATGTCTATTTGCAATGAAATTTAGGCCGTGTCAAAAAATTTTCGACTTTTTTGCTCACCTTTGGAAGTATAGCGCATCTTATTATGAACAAGATACATGAATCAACAGAGAATCCAGCCAAGTTTCTCTCTATGAAATATCTTTTTAATATATTTTATAGTTTTTTTGTAAGAAGCAATCAAAGTCCGAATGTCTATTCGAATGTCTATTTGAATGTCTAAGCGAATGTCGCACGCTAAATAGCGGAACAAAACCGCTCTTCAGTTTTCCTTTAATAACTTTTTAAATAAAATTTTTGGCCCAAACCAACGTTAATTCTCTTTCTAGAAACCTGCTAAACTTTTTTTCATAGACTGCAGTCGGTTTTTGCATTTTGTTGCGCTTTTCTTTTGCGTCGAAAGTAAAGGAATTTTTCGAAAGTGTAAGTTTTGCATAAAATCACTATAAAGCCGCTACATCCCGTGCCGAATTTTGAAGAGTTGAACCTAATTTTAAGATGAATGAAAAACAATACGAAATTAAAGACGATGCAGGCGTAGCACTTGGCACAACTTCGTGGTTGAGGCGGATCCAGGGCATTTTTTAACATAATCAGTGGTGGGGGAATTGCCGCACCAGGCCCTACCACTTCCCTCACCACTGACGAGCAAAATGCTACTTTTACCCCAAATGTCTAGGCCACCGTGGGGCCTTTTCGAAAGAATAAACATAATGCAAATGTGCAGGCGAAAACAACATGATATCATATTTTCTATCATCGTGATGTTTTGGTTAAATGGCTCCACTACTGCAACTGCAAGAAGTCGAACAGGCTATGCCTTCAGTAGAGAGAACTTTCAGATTTTTTCATCGAAAACGATTTATCAAAGACGTAAGAAGCATTAGAAAACTGGAAGAGGGTCATCGGCTTAAAGGGGCACCCTAACAAAGATTCTACAAGGTTATACAACATGCTCTAAGGGGCACCCTAACAAAAATTCCAGAAAGTTTGAGAAAGGCTGTTTCTAGAAACAGAAATCTTTGGCAACTATGCTTTTAGATAAGATAAAAATGGCTATCAGAATTTTTTTGCAGTCATTTTCTTGCATTCGTTTAAAACGTTGTTAATTTTTTTAGGATAATTTTGTTAGTCAAACTAATTGCTTCTTAAAAACACAGGCCACAAGGAAATTTGTCACCATTCGGCAGACTGCTATGCGTTTGTAGTTTTAATGCTATTAAAAGCAGATTCCAAGGAAATATTTTAGATCATAGCCCCAAAAGGTCACCTCCCCCCCCCCCCTATTCTCTGTGCTCATTTTCTATAGCGACTAAGCATTTCAAGGGCACTTTTTGGGTATGCAGTTGGCAAAAAGGGCAACCTGGTTAACTGCAAAAGGGCATTTTCTTTAGATTATTTTCAAGTGGAGGGGGGCACGTGTCCCCTGTGCTCTCGGTTCCTACGTCTATGCTTTAAAAGAAACCCATTTGCTAGGTACCTGATCTTAACTATTCCATGTTAAGGTTCCAATTTTGTTTATAAACACACTATGTAAGAACGCTTTGAAAAGACTTTGTGTTAAATCTTTAATCCTCAATCCTCAATTCTAAAGAATTTCAGTATGGAAACAGCGTGATCATGATGTCATAAACATTTTGATTAAAATAATAAATATTCAAACAACGCAAAAATTTGAAATCCACATCAAAAACTGAACTGTTCAATTCTTTTAGTTTATGTCCTTGGTAATAACATCTTAACCAAAAAGTTAGCTTCAAGATATATGTATGAAACATCCCAGCTAGTCCTTGCTACAAACCAGGATTTTAGCGTAAGTGGAAATATAAAACAGTCTTAGGCACTTTTCCGAAAATCCTGTTCAATTTCTTTTTCTTGAGGTGAGCGTGGGCCCTTTTGAAAAATGCCCCACCACCCAAAAATCCTTAAAAAATGCCCTGCCAGCTAGTCCTTGCTACAAGCCAGGATTTTAGCGTAAGTGGAAATTTAAAACAGTCTTAGGCACTTTTCCGAAAATCCTGTTCAATTTCTTTTTCTTGAGGTGAGCGTGGGCCCTTTTGAAAAATGTCCCACCACCCAAAAACCCTTAAAAAATGCCCTGGGCGGATCCGCCTCGGTTATGGTACACACAACAGCACATAATAAGAGTGTTGATAGAATGTCAGGGCAGTCTTTTACGGACACCAGCTGTCGACAAATCCGGTACTCCCTGGAATACTTTTTGGGGCGCAGGGTGGTACTCCGGGAATACTTTTGCTTAAACTTTATTTAACATCAAATTTTATTTCACTGCACTTAACTTCTGATGGTTTATAGAAAATTTCTCTAGTTGACTCTCTTTTTCTTTCAAAAGCAGTTGCACGCAGCTAAATTTTCACAGTGACATAAAAAATGGAAGAATATAATTTTTAAACTACAGTGTACATTATTCATGTTTTAATTTTTTAGATATAAACCTTGAAAATTGTTATAGCAAGTAATGAATCAAGAATTATATTCCCAGTATAGATAATAGCTAGGGGTGAAATCACTTCTAAAAATCTCGTACACCTTTCATAAATTACCAAAAAAATCTCTAAAATCTCTTGAAAAATTGCTGAAATCTCAAAATCTTTCAAATAAATCATGGGCTCTGAGAAATCTCACAAAAATTTAAAATCACTCAAAATATTCTTGAAATCTTGAAAAGAAATCTTACAATCCAGAAAATAAATCTTGAAATTTATTTTCAAATTGTTTCGGCGGTGGCTGAAAGATTTTGCAAAGTCCTGCCATATTTGAAGCTTATTTGAACCGAAAACAAAAATCTTTGCAGTTTATAAATCTATATCTCTTATCATGAGAAAACCATTCACATCAAACACCCCTGCCTCTGCTCACCTGCTCAAAAATAGCTAGCCTCGATCCGACTCTCAAACTCGATGTGACGGCACTAAAGTGATGATGTCACAAATAGCTATTTTTAGATTTAGGAATTTTGACCATAACTCTCAAAAGAGCATCATGAAATTCTACTTACTGTGTCACAACTTAGCTGAGACACGACCATATGTGCACCGGCTCTTGCCCCATCAAACCTCTGTAATTTAGCCTCTGTTCCTAACTTTATGAACCAGGCCAGAGTAATAATAATTCGTTTGCAAACTTTTATTGGTCATATCTCATCCAATTTTGAACATAATTTTGCATTTTGAGAGGTAGTTATGCCTTTCTAAATTCAGAAGCTCAAAAATAGATTTTTATTGACGAGACTTCCAACACCAACATAAAAAAGTTCTTTTTTCAAGATCAATTTATGCCCCTCTTACGTCCACCTTTGCCCACCTCCTGCCCACCTTTTATCCATCTTATGCCCGCCTTCTGCCTACCTTCTGTCCATCTCCTCACCTTCTGCCTACCTTCTGTCCATCTCCTCACCTTCTGCCTACCTTCTGTCCATCTCCTCACCTTCTGCCCATCTTCTGTTCAATTTCTGCCAATCTTCTGCCCAACTTGTGTTATGCCCGATCATAGATCCTGTTGACTAAATTGTTTTATAAGCTAAGATGCTCCATTCTTTTCTCGAAAACTGGCATCAGCAAGTTTCAAAAGCTAATTGTAGAAAAGGCGTGAAGGTAGATTTTTCGGACGAAGTTTTTTTTCCATGTGAGCACCAAACCTATCCTGGGAATATAATATTTCGCTGCCTTTTAAACTGGCAGCTCGTTGTCAATCAGTGTAATGAATACAGAAAGCAAATTGAATTTCGAAATAGCTGTAAATAATTTTGAAAGACTAGGTTTTGAAAACAATAAGACAAACTTGCTGGCTTACAGCTTTTGAGACTGAAATTAAGTTTACTTTTGAATCTTTTTCAATTTTTACATTTCATATTGTGAAAAACCATTTTGGTTGGGGCCTTGTTTTTCGGTATTAACTATTATTTCTGTCACTGTCGGTAGGTTATGGATCACTTTATGACTTTCTCCGTACTTACAAAATTTCCCTCCACAAAGTTTGAGGGCCTAGATTAGAATAATGTTATATTCGAATAAATACAACGTTTGATTCGTTTTGTAGAGAGAAATCAGAGTAGGCTACGAGAGGCCTCTCTTTCACCAGGCAGAGTATCAATTACACGCTCTTCTCGCAGAAGACAAAACTCCTTTGATTCCGATGGCTTTAGTTCAGATGAGGAAGAAAACCTCCCGTACACTATGTCCAGCACCCCGAGAGGCGTATGTCTTATTATCAATAACATGGATTTTAGTGAAGCAAGAAAAAACAACAAGGGATATGATGATCGAGATGGATCAGAAAAGGACGAAGAAAATCTTAAGGAAGTTTTTGAATGGCTAGATTTTGATGTGAAAATCTACAGAGATCAAGCAGCGTTGAATATGTGGAATAAAATTCAAGAATATTCGTCGAAATTCGATCATAGCAAGTATGATTGCTTTGTTGCATGTATTTTGAGCCATGGACAAAAAAACAGTGAGAATGACAAGGATGAAATATGCGGTACTGATGGAAAAGGTATCCCAGTTGATTCGATCATTCGCAGCTTTGATGCAAGCAGCTGCAAGTCCCTGCGTGACAAGCCGAAGTTGTTTTTATTGTCATGCTGCAGATCAATGGGGGAGATGGGTGAAAGAAGTGCCACCAAAGGCACCGTCCAGGCAGATGGATCTCGGTTTAATGGACAAACTCAATCAAAGCTGTCTTTGAGACCTTTGGCCGACCCTGCAGATTTTTTCATTGGGTTTTCCACTTTTTCAGGTAAATTAATTTGCTTTCTTTGATTAATATTTCTGCAGTTATTAAAAAAATGTGTCATTTCTTTGTAACATAGCCCTTGCCAGCCCCGTTGTTCGTCTCGGTACAGCTATCTTCGTAATTAGAAACCTTACTTCGAGGATATTTTGAGCTCCTTTCCTGTGTTACTGGGAAATTTTTGCTGTCTCGTCTTCCTTGAAATGTTTTTTACTAAGTAATGGATGCATTTACCCTGAGCCTTCATATGAATTGACTGGAGCAAGGAGATACCTTGCAGCATAAATCCCGGTTATTGTTCCTCTCGCTCAGTTGACTTATCATTTATCAAGTAAATACTGCTTTTAGTTAATAATGCTTTCAATAAACAGCCATATAATTCGAAGGAGAGGTATCGAATTATTTAAAAGAGATGAGAAAAAACGTTTGACTGCCCGTCTATAATCCATTTTTACCACCCTGTTAAGGAAATCGTCAGCGAAAACTGTAGTAGGCTATCCAGGAACATACACCAAGCGGCCCTAATTTTACAAACCCTTTCTTTTGGAAAAATTGAAAATAATAGAAAAGATTTACATGCAAATTGAACAAGTCTATCTCGAGATTAAAATTATGTCGCTTGATACAAGTCCCTTCCGGTGCCACTTTAGTTTATTGTGGGGCTACTCCTCCTAAGAAAAAAACGGTATTTATTCTTTTTTTGGTTGTCTGAAACACGTTTTGTTGGATGTTTAACTTGTGAAATCGAACAATACGTTAAAATGGCTTTGAAAACATTTTGAAACCATTCTTTTGCTTTTTTTCAAAGCCGTTTTCAAGTTTTGTACCGCAAAACATTGTGAACGCTACGTGTAAGCCCAAAGCACGAATGGCTTAAATGGGGTTTTAAAATACGTTGACAAATTTATAGAAATTAATGACTGTTACCTATATCTATATCATTAAATTTCATAGCTACTCTCTTTGCATCGTCTAAAGTCTTGCAACAAGGAAATCCATGGTATTTTCTCACAAAGAAAGTTTTTCTCGAATCCAATATGTATCTTGAATGGTCACTATAATCTATTATTAGGCTGCAAGAGTTTACGTGACAAAAGCAAAGGAACTTTCTACATATCGACACTTTGCAATGTTTTTCGTAAGATGGCTAGAAAGGATAATTTGATGACGATGATGACAAAGATCAACAGGAAAGTCGCAGCCATGGAACATTCGACTCAGGTGCCCAACCCATCCATGACTTTACGAAAGCTGTTGTTTTTCAATCCGCAGACTGACTGGCGTGGGAAGAAAACTGCCACCAAAAACTGAGAATGTCGACAAGTAAGGACTGCTTGAAGTACACATAAGATTCTTAAAAGCGAACGACCGATATCAAACTGGCTTATGCCATCTACAAAACAACTATTGGCCAATTAATAAGCGCATGATTGATATCATGCATGTTGATTGGCAAATAGGCGATTGAAAGATTGCTTTAAAGCCACTTTTATATCTTTCAATGCTTTTGAGTTAATTTATCCTATCATGATATTGAGTCAGTTGTAAAAAGTCTACCTTCCTGCAAAGCAACTTCAATAAAAGATCTCTCCTTCTAAAGTTTTCGTCTGAACTTGAGAGTGTAAAAGTCTGGTAATGACAAAGGTTAAGTGAAATTTTATTTTGTTATGTTTCCTTCTGTTCTATTTTGAAGGATGCATACTCGCGCAACTGTTGTCTACTGCAAAGGGATAAATACGTAGTTCGTGCAAACCAAGGATTGCCACTATCCCTTTTAAATACATGACTTCGAGGAAAACATATCCTTACCAATAAGACGAAATATTCAATAAACAGTAACGAAGGCCAAGGGATAAGCTCATTAAACCTTTAATCAAAATGTAGCTGATGGTTACGGAAGAGAAAAAAAAGGAAAAACGTGCTCTTGAGTTTCATTAACGTTTCGTCTACGTGCCAAGTGAGAAAGCAATTGCTACGTCACTAGAAACAAATTGCATTACTCTTATGGAATAATCAAAATTCAAATACCGCTTAAAATCGTTTTGTTTTAAAATATGGCCTTTATGCAACTAGTCAACCCAGTTGACAAAATACACACATGTCATTGCTTCCGCTATTGATAACTCCCCCTTCTCTTTCTGATTCCCCTTCTCCTTCTACCCCCTTCTCCTCCTGCTCCTTCCCCTTTCCCCACTCCCTTGTTATCCCCTCCTCCTTCTCTTTCTTTCTTTTTTTCCCTTCTCCTTTTCTAGTACCCCCTTCTTCTTCCCCATCCTGTCCCCTTCACCTTTTCCTACTCCTTCCTCGCTTCTCCCATCTTCTCATTTTCCTTTTCCACCCTCTTCCTTTTCCTTCTCTTTCCTCTCCTCTTCCCTCTTTCCCCTTCCCCACTCCCTTTCCTCTACTCCTCCTTCTCCCCCTTTCTTTATTCCGGACAGCTGAATTCTTCATACGTCTTTCGACATTCATCTTCGTGTCCTAACTTCTCACTCCGCTTTTTACCAAGCGTTTTATCTTTAACCCTTTTCTTGTTTCCCTTCTTCCCTTCTTTCTTCCCTTCCCATTCCTTTCTTTTTGTCCACCTTTTACTGCTCACTTCCTATCACTGTATGTTAATAAACCCACGTGAAACATGTTGTATCTGTTAAAGGTTTTAACCAATCAGCAGTCTTTATTTCTAAGTATCTGCTATCATATAGTCTTTTCTTGAGCTTCATTTATACAAAATCTGGCATTAAGTCGTTTGCTTTGCATAAAGATTTTTAAGGTATTAGCTCTCTGTGCTTATATTTTTCACATTATCTAAACATGATTATTTCCTTCGTAGACATCAAACAAGCTATCAATGTCATCAGGTGATGAAGTTTGACAAAATGAATTTGTGTGGATTCAAATGAAACAGTAAAGTAATTGCTTTGTTACCAGTTACAAAACACAACCGTATTTCTTCTTTTTGTACTTATATTAGAATTTGCAAGCTATCCTCTATTCTTGTTGATTTGCTAATCCATATAATTATAAGTCAGGGACAAAATTGATTGATACAAGTGAATTTTTCCAAAGGAGTTTTCACTCCCCAAACAACCCCTGTAGCGATGGCCTCGACTGAGCTTATGTCATTCATCAATCATACTTTATGTCATAAGTTTGCACAATTATGTACTATGAAGTTACTAATGTTTGAGAGGACTTAGGTTTTTGAGGATTACTATTTCAGGCGTTTAGTATTCAATATTCAAAGAATATGTTTAGTATTCATATTTGCTTGTTCTGATGTTATAATCTCAATTATATCGACGCGATTAATTTGGCAATTTTTTTCAAATTTATGTTTGAATTATATTAAGTTGTCTAAAAATTGTTATGTTTTTGGAACGATCGAAAAATTGCTACGTTTGTAAAACGATCCCTAAGTTGCAATATCAAATGTAGTTTCTTTGAAGCTTTTTTTTAACAATTGATGTTGCCTGTGTCTCTGCGTTTATAAGCAGAAACAGACAAGAATTAAATGCACAAGCAGAGACATATCCAGGTCATGGCACCAGTTTATTGTGATACGGTCAGTTTTTAGCAATTCTGTATTTTCCAAAAAATGATTAACTGTAGAATTCAAGAGACTAGAATTTGGAAAAAAGGATTGAAAAAATTCCTGACCTTCTTACCAAGCAGAACCCCCCTCGCTCATCCAGGGGCGTAACTTGGCCAGTAGGTTTGGGGGGGGGGTGAAAAGGGTTTCTGCCCTGCAAAACTGAGTGATGCCCTGCAGACCTCGCAGCAAAGGTTTGTCTATACTCTATAGTTTACTAGTGAAAGCTTCACCAGTGTACACTGGTCTTTACCAAGGACAAACTTCTAAGCAATAAAAAGAAACTTAAAACTTCATTGCCTATGAAATATCTATTTCTCTACGTGAGCGTAAATTATATGTCAAATTTGATTTTCTTTGATAATAAAGCTTCTATATCGTTGCATATGATTTTTTGGTGCAGTGGCGAAGCAACGAAATTGAGCCCGGGGGGACTAAGAATCAAGTTTAGTGAATAAGGAGGACCCACCATGGTTGGGTCCGACGTGAAGAAAATTTTTGAAATTATACCTTGTAATAGGGCGAAAAGGCATCTTTCAGACTAAAATTTAGCAAAATACTATTGTGCTAAAAACTGATTATTGTTTATTGGGAAAAATAGGGAGGGGGAATATCATGCTAAAACTCTAGTGTAAGACGTTGGGGAACGAAAGAAACGGCAGCCTTTCGCTTCAGATTGCACGTAGTTGTGAAAACATTGCAATGATACAGAAAATGATTTACTGAATTAATGCAAATAAAAGAAAAATAATGAAAAAATATACGTGAAAAAGTTAGTAATTAGATCAAACAAAATCGGCATCTTAACAGTTTACTCTCTTTTTATTTCATGCACTGTTAAAAATTAATAGAAAAAATGATAAAAAAATTCTTATCTTGACCAAAGTGAGGGCCTTCAGCCCCCTATTCCCCCCCAGTGACGCCGTGCCTGTCATGAAAATAATTTACAACTTAAATTAATTGATAAGGACTCAACCTTGCCCTCATAAACATATGCATCAATCATTGCATCCATTGGCTATGACTTTCGGTAAGACATGATTTCGCTTTGCAAATAACGGAGCTTTTTCTTACATACCTGTTCCGTTCTCTAAAATGCAATATCAGGAAGGTAGGTTCATAACAAATATGATATTTCCATTTCAAAATTCCTAAACGGCCCTTTACAAACTTCAGGGGTGACATTTCTGCGTGGGAACAAAGCTCTTCTTGGCGCCCTGCGAAATCTTCGATTGCCCTGCGAAATCGACTGTTTTTAAGATTAGGGGGGTGTCACACCCCCCCCACACCCCCGGTATTTTCGCCCCTGCGCTCATCCACAATTTCTTACCCTTACACAATTTCATGACGTTTGTTCATCACATAAGAAAATAGATAATTAGCTGTGCCAAATAAGCTGGGTAGAAACTGCGCCACTCTTGACATGAATTGAAGAATGCGCTGAAATGTTTAAAAAACATGTTTTGCGACCAAACCAAATGGTTGTGCTATAACTTTTAAGTTTTTTCCGATTAGAGGATCTGGGCTTTCAAGAGGCTGACTTTGTTGGAGGGGGAGGGTTCTGATTCAAGAATTTAACTCATTAAAAAAATTAATCTGACGGCTCCGGTGGCAAAAAATATTTATAATATTTCCAGAAAAAATATTTCTGAGGTTAAATAATGGAGACCCGGACAGGGTAATCGGGACCACCACGAAGGAGAATTCAAGCTGAGAATTTTTTAATTTTGTTGCATTCAGCTCGCTGGAAAATGCCCTCTACGGAGCAACTTTTACAAATGATATTAAAAGACTGAAGCTATTTGATGGTTTCAATTTTTTCTTCTGCTAATGCAACATGATAGGGTGGAATTATGTTCAGACTGGGACAAAAGTGTTCAGTTTGGGTGGACGGGATTAAGTCTTGATATCGAGAATATCTAGTTTAAATAATAAAAGTCCGATAAAGTTAGTAGATTTTTTCAAGGCTTCTTTTTAAAAGCAGCCACTTGTTCGTTACCTTTATAAGATAAATACCATCAAACGAGATCCTTTTGACAAACCAAAAAATGCGATTGTAGTCCTTCATTCTCTAAATCATACTGAAAATGAAAATCAGTACGTCTCCCTATAGATATTGCCATAAATGTGTACAAACGCCATCCAAGTATACAACTGATAAAGCAAAGGGTAACCAAAGCCTCTCCTTTTAGCAGCATACCTGTGGAAATATTAACTGACAAGGGTGCCTTATCTTTGTGCGTATCGTAAAGGCTTCAACACCAAACATGCATGCATTTCTTAGATCGATTGAAAAATGCAGATCTTGCCTGGATATTAAAGGGTTCGCCGATGCAATTCTAATGGACCTTTCAAAGGCGTTTGATTATCTGAATCATGAACTACTCATTGCAAAGCTTGACGCTTACGGTTCCAATCTTTCGAATAGGAAAAAGTAAGTTAAGATCAATGGGTCATTCAGTTCCTGGCAGGAATCAATTAAAGGGGTACGGCAAGGCTCTGTTTTGAGGGCGCTCTTATTTAATGTATTCATAAGTAACCTTTTCTTTTTGGTATAAGAGACTGAAATTTGGAATTATGCTGATGACACGACCATCTACGGGTGCGGTCATGAACTAGAACTTATTGTATCTAGCCTTGAAACAGATGCTCAGAAGCTCTCTAAGTGATTTCTTGATAACAGTATGCAACTGAATCCTGACAAATGCTATCTTTGATTCTTGGGGAGAAGAACACTGACGAATCAGTGTAGATTGGTGCAACTACAATACCAGAATCTTTTGAAGAAAAACTTTTATGTGTAACGCTGGATTAGAACCTAGATTTGAAGAACGACGTAAATGCACTTCGTAAAAAACCTGGACAGAAGCTGTATGCACTTGTACGTATTTCAAGCTATATGGATGTTGAGAAACTAAGGGTTATGATGAAGGCCTTCGATGTTTTTCAGTTTAGCTACTGTCCACTTGTTTGGATGTTTCATGATAGGTTGGTTAATAAAGAAAATATACACAATTCACGAGAGAGTTTTGAGAATCGCATGCAAGGATAGTTATTCAAATTTCATAGAATTGACGACGAAAGCAGATAAAGCTTCCGTTCACCAAAAAAATTCGTAGTTGCTTGCTACTGAAATTTTCAAAACTCAAAGAAATTTCAATCCAAGTCTCACGAATAAAATGTTTGCGAGGAATGATACTCTATACACACTTCGAAGTGGCAGAAATATTTTAGCACCAAAACCATACACGGCAGGGTATGGTATTGAAAATGCACTTTTCCTTGGAGCGAAGATATGGCAAGAGTTCCAGACATTGAATAGCTTCAAAAGAGACATTAAAACCCGTCAGTTTGGTTGCAACTGTAGATTGTGCAAATAATTTTTTAAAAATTTGGGGTTTTTATGATTGTAATTTATATCCTCTTTGTTGATAGATTTATCCTTGTAAGTTAGTTATCATCAACATGTATTTAGGATTTTGGTTGGCATTAATTAGAAAATTTATTAGCTAGACGAGAAGCCAAGCTAAAATAAAGCAATCATTATCATAATTATATAATAAAAGACAAAAATGAAAACTGCTTGTGAATTGTACATTTAATTTCAATTCCGCAAAAATTACCCAAACTTTCCGTCTGATTCTTTCAAGAAAAAGTTATTTTCAGACGTATTTCCCACTGAAGAAAACAAGATAAAATGTAGAAAATGAATTTTAGAACAACAATCATGTTGTTATCATGAACGACTTGTAAATACTGTAATCGGTCGACCTCATTTTATGTATCATCAATTGCCTTAGTTGAGAAATCGATGATCGAACTTAATATCAAATACCATAAATAGACTATTCTTCTTGTTACTTAATTATGGCGTGGTCAGTAAAGATTTCTTGAGGTTCCCGCCCAAAAATGACCTATTTCAAATGATCAAAATATGCAGTTTCCTTAAAGTTAGACATGATCCAAGATGTTTTCTTGTCGGAAAATCGTGGGCCTGGCCCCCCCCCCAAGTGGAAGCCTGAATTTCCATCACTGGTTTGGCCAGAAGGGGGGGGGGGGGAGCAAACTGGTCGGAACATTTCCTGTTCTGATTAACTCCTAATGGAAATCAAGCTAAAGAGTATGTAACAACCTATAATGTCAAGATACAAAGGAAATACAAAGTGATTGAAGTCAAAGGCAAGTGGGCAGGACATGTAGCACGAATGAAGAACCACGAATGGGCTAAGAAAACGACAGAATGGACTCCGTGGGACAGGAAGAGAGGAAAGGGAAGACCAAAGAGAAGATGGAGAGATGAGATCGAGCAGAAGGCAGGCAGCACGTGGACCCAGAGTGCCCAAAACCGTGATGAGTGGAGAAAGATGTGGAGGCCACCCGCCAGCAGTGGTGTGACAGGCTAATGATGATGATGATGACAAAGGAAATGTTCTCTTCTCAATTTGATTCTTAGTTGATAGCCGAGACTCGCTTTCAAAATCAGCTTATGAAAACGAAACAGTTCTCGGAATTCCGAACTGGGGCCTGACTGAAGAGTAGAAATCATTTGCTGGCAAAATCAAATGTGATTCTTATATCTTGAATGCACTGTCACTGTGAAGATGAAAACAGAACTGAGAATGATTTTAAAAACACATAAGAGTAAGCTGATATCATGTGTAACGGAAGGCATATTGCTAGGCCTCCTTGCTAAGATGGACATCTATTTAGACGATATGGACGTTCAAAGGATCAAATGCGAAATGCAGAACAATGGAAAAAGTTCTGCCGCGTTTGAATTGTTTAGATGTTTACAGTCAGCTGATGATGCCTCATTCAAGGAACTTTTAGCTTTCTTGCAGAAAAACAAAGCCACGAAATCAGTGTACATAGCAATCTCAAACGAGTGTACAAAAAGTGGTCTTCAGTCAATTCTTCCAAGGGAAAGGAATGTTTCAGGAGAAATTTGCGAAAAGAGCGAGAAAGGTAGGACCCAGATATATGTTCTCGTTCCGTTCCTCTACTTACCTAAACCGCGCTGTATACTTTTCAATTATACATACTTTCAAAAGGTCCCTACCAGTCTGCAGAGTGTTGCATGTGCACACACAGGATTTTTTCAGAGGCTTGTCTAATGCACACAAAAACATTGGGCTGCACACGAATTTTCTGGATACTGGAAAGTTTTTTAAGATCACCCTTTTTTAAACGTTGCTTTTTTCCTATCTTGGCCTAAACAACATTTTCTTTGAAATTTGAAATGCTGATGAATTGGGATTTTTATATTCATAAAACAACTTTAACTTGTGTTGGTCAGCATCAGAACCATCTGATTGTCACAAGCTGAAAAAGTTGTTGTCAATAACTAAATTAGAGAACATGTACTGCTTTTGCTATGTGCATTTTGTGAGCAGATTGAGTTTCTCTAGATGATACTCCTGATTTAAAAACTCTGGCATGCAAATGCACACACCAATTTGACTTACGGCCTCAATTTGAAAAAATTCTTCAAATTCTTTTGTATATACAAATTTTTACCTCAGATTTGGATTGAGAGGAATGGTTTTGGTCTACTTGGAAATTTTCACTATGGTATTGCTCACAATATTGATTTAATGACAACATAAAGATAAACATTTTATAAGGGATTTGACAGTGATTGGCGACTAGGTGGGTAAAGTTTCCCCTGGAACGATTTTTGCGGTCAAATCCCTTACAAGTTTTCAAACTTCATTTCTATGCAAAATCTAAAATACAAGCAAAAAAAATGTGAAAAATTGTATCCAGCCTGAAATTATGATGATAAAACCAAATCTGAGCTTAAAAAGGTTGTATATTGATGAAGTTTGGAGAAATATCAAAAAGAGGTTGTAAGTCGAATTGGTGTATTGAATGAAATATGAGGCACACTTTTCAGGATTGCTCAATGAAATCTCAAAGCTTTGTGAGGTTAAAAGAAGGGGGGTCTGGGGGTACCCCCCAGGAAAATTTTTAAAGGCCACACCCTATAGATTACCACAGAATGGCCCTGGAGTCATTTCATATTTCAGTATTTTGATTTGATATTTTAAAATGAGCTATCCTTGCCGTAAAGCCATTGATGCCTAGAATTAAAAATCATATATTCCAATTCTCTGAGAAACTACAGTGTTAGGTTTATTGTCAATTTTCTAAGCGTGGGCTGTTAAGAAGAGGCCTTACTAACATCAAAGGTAATAAAAAGGTCTGAATCAAAGAAACTGAGATTATTTGGGAAACTATAGTATCTGACTTGTGCTCAAGCATGATTATAGGATCAAGAATTTACTCTGTAGAGATCATTATGTGGACTGAATTATGTTACAATCAACTGACTGTGTGCACTGTTAGGAGATTCACACCCCCACCTAGAAGTTTGGCTAAGTACGGAGGAGGTGGGTCAAAATAATTGAATTTTAATCATACAAAATATATGACTGATCCCATGCTTAGATATATTCTAAAGTCAAAATTTTGTGGAACTCTTTAAAGTGCTTTTGCAGGAAATAATTACTGTGCACACATTGTGAGACAAATTGACAAATACTTTGCCCATCAGAAGCATGCTGCACACTTTGGATCAAAACTGAACAGTGTGCACACATTGCACACTTTGTTAACACTCCTGCACACATGCACACATTTGTATTTGCACTTGCATAAACAAGATCTTGTCGAGAACTACCTCCCTCTGTAGACTGGGGTCCCTAATAAAACAATGAAGCATGTTGTTATGTTTCTAGGTCCTAGGCAAACATATTACATGTGCCAAAATTTATTCTTATGAAATTTGATAACTTGGTAAATCCCAACATAATCCTCCGTTCTGGGATGAACGGATTATGTCAGTGATTCTGCATCTCGCTATCTACAGATCTTTCTCAAAAATGGACTTCAGAATTGAAATCTTCCTCTCTAAATTAGTTTATACTGAAAAATTCATGTTGTTTGGACCGTTCAGTGGCGAGTTACTTTGTTTTGAATATTTAGATATTTCTATAGATTTGATCGTAATTTGCTGCTTCAGTGAAAAAATTTCACTACATCAACAAATTCCATTGAATGTTTAGGAAAAGCTAAATTTTGAAAAGGGGAAATTTACAGCCTGATGGCCTAAACAACTTGAAATTTTCAGCACAGACTAATTTTAACATGAAGATTCCAATTCTATGATCCATTTTTTCCAAATGTGAAGATAAAAATTGCCCGGATCAGAGAATTTTTTCCCTCTTATTATATAAATATTATAAAATGAAGTGTAATTTTAGAGTGAGTTACTTTGAGCAAAAATGATGCGTATATTTCACAAGGGAATTTCATTAGTGCTTTTAACTATTCTCTTCTTGTCATTTTTCATTTCATTATTTATTTGCCAGGGTAGAATCCATGTGAAGCTCACGTTGGACATATGCCAATAATCAATAGAAAGACAATGGGAAATCGTTAGTCCATGCCAGATATCTCTGGCGTAAGCTACATGGATTCCACACTGGTTTATTTCAAGTTAAACATACATGCACAATTAAGCATAGAAATAAAACTGTACAAATGATGAGTGCAAGTCTAAATGTGAATAAAATTGTAGCAAATGATAAGTCTAATACAGAAGTAGTTAATGTTAACTAGAATATATCAAAAAAGTTATGTCTAATTTGCACATACTAGAATTTCTAGTAGTTTGAAAACTAACTTGAGGAGAGCATCTCTTTGGTTGAGAACATATTCATTAATGTTTGTGAGCATTTTTGGTTGCGATACATGAATTTTTCATGCCATTTTTGCTAATCTATAGTTTATATGACTAGAGTGGGTCATAGATAGATGTAAGTGAACATAGATTTTTAGATTTTTAACATAGATTAATGAAAAAATACAAATGATTTTGATTTACTGTTGTGGCTGTGTTGTTTGATGCAGATCTGCCATATGAAAGTATGAAAGCTTCAAATAGAGTTGAAGACCAATACCAGCCTTTAAAGTCTGAAAAAGGTGAATATCAAACTGTTGCTGGCAGTGGAAATGTTAAGAGTCCTATCCAGGAAAAAGGGACAGATACACAAGAAGTAAAGAATTCCCAAAATTTTTGTGGAGGTGAAACAGAAGCTCCAGTCAAACGGTACAAAATGACCAGTTCCCCTAAAGGCATTTGCCTAATTATCAATAATGTAGATTTTGTGAATCAAGAAAAGACATGAAGAAAGGGTACGATGACCGTGATGGTTCAGAAGTTGACGAAAAGAATCTTAAAGAAGTTTTCAAATGGCTGGGTTTCGATGTCAAGATTCACAGAAACAAAAAAGCTTTAGAAATGTGGAATATACTTTCAGAATGGTCAAAGAGCAACCATTCTCAATATGACTCCTTTGTTACATGTATTTTGAGTCATGGAAAGCAAGATATTAACACAAACAAGGATGAAATTTGTGGTGTTGATGGCAAGAGTTTCCCAGTAGATGACATGATCCAGGCTTTTAATGGAGAAAATTGCTCTTCTTTAATTGACAAGCCAAAGCTTTTCTTTTTACAATGTTGCCGCGGAATCTTTACAGACAAGGGAATGCCTGAACAAAATAATATTGTGTCAGATGGTTTGCAAGAGCAACATCAAGCAAAAGTGCCAATGCTTTGTGATGTCTTTATTGGATACTCTACTCCTCCAGGTATGCCTGCCTTTACTGTTTAAATTGTGCTCAATAGCAGAGGGTAATAAGAGGGGGCAGGGGCCTGGGCCCTCCAATATTCTAGAAGATCACAAAACCTAAATGTGCAGATGTCCTGAGTTCCTAATGAGCACAAAATGAGCCTCTAAACCCTCTCTCTCGTGACTTTGTTGGTTTGTACAGGTTTTTTCATTAACTCTGTATGTTATTTTTGATATAGTAATTTTCATAGATTCATACCTTCCCCCCCCTTGCAATGTCAAAATCTAAACTACCCCAATTTTTCATAATGTCATTTTGGAATTAAAGGCTTTTTGGAATAATTTTAAAATTAATTTGACTATGTAGCCTGAAAACGATATTCTTTGTTTGTTCGTTCGTTCAAATTCCTAAATTCTTTAGATAGAAGTAGGATGTCATCATAAATTGATATAGCCAGTTTCTTAATTCCTTGAAAACCAAAATCCAAATGTTTTTAATTCCAAATGCTGAATATATGAAACATTATTTTATGCAAAAAAACAAAAAAAGTACTGGCTCAAGTGCAATTTTAAGGGTGTAGCAAAAATTAGTTTCATCAAATACATGCGAATATAATACATGCAATTAATCAATGCAAATATAGAAACAAGGCTAATGGAGCAAAGACCTTGTTCAAAGATTTTTATCATATGTGCTGATATTTGCTTATTGAAAAAGGTAATAATTCAGCTTCAGTAAAGAGGATGGTTCCTGGTGGCATGGGTGTAGCAGATGCTGATAATTTAGGGGGCTTAGTATGAATCTTGCCTGATTATCATTGCTTGATAAAGATAGAAGTGCTTGAATTGAACCTAAAATGTAGAAAAATTTCATGATTAGGTGGGTGGGCTCCTGGGAAATTCCTCCCAACCCTCCCAAATTCTTACGTGTGGGCATTGGCTTAGAACTGTCATATTTCAGAGTACCTTCACTTCTGTTTACATGCTAACATCTACTGGTTAACATCAATCTTTATTACTTAGCATGAACATTTTTAAAATTACATATTCGCATGACTTGTAAATGATTGTTCAGACAGGCAATGGTACACTTTTGTTGAATTATATATGCTTCTCACCTCATATATACTTCTATAAATTGACTGGTTTGTTTGCAAAACACAATCAATAAAATGTTGGTATACCATGACCGTTTAAAAACCGTTTTTGAACACATTATTTTAGGTTTCAAGAGTTGGCGAAACACCACTGAAGGATCTTGGTATATTTCAAAGCTTTGTGAAGTTTTTGCAGATCTGGCAAAAGATTTTGATCTGATGACGATGATCACAAAGGTCAATGATGAAGTTTCAAAGTTTTACACTGACGAGGGTTTTAAACAAGTGCCAAATCCATCAATGACATTGAGAAAGCTACTATTTTTTAACCCGATTCATGGTAGATAATAAAAGTGGATTAGATTCAAGTACAACATTATCTGTATTATCAACAGTAAGGTTTAATGGCTCGCAGCGACAAATGTAAAGCGATTTTTTCAATAGACTTGAAGCAATGGAAGAGATACAAGTTGAAATTGCTAGAATTTCTTAACCCGGTTCGTAAATATTATAAACAATAGGTTTTGTAACACACAGGAACAGATTGATATATTCTCATTTTTAAGCAGATTTGAAGTGAAATGCAAGAGGTAAAAACTTTGAATTTAGGTTGAATATTGAATTCTTTCTCTATCTTTACACAAAAACGGCAAAGCGAATGAAAAGAAACAGGGAAAAGGGGGGAAGGAAACGAAAATGATAATGAATATATAAAAGAGGGAAAACAGAATGGATTTTGAACAAAAAACCGAACTATTTTCTTCTTCTTCCTTTTTCTTCTTCTTTCTTCCTCTTTCTTTTTCTTTGTATTCCTTAGCTTCTTGCTTTATGTTCTCCCTAATTCTTCTTCTTTCTACTTTCTATTCCAATTTCCTTCTTTCTCCTTGTTTTCTCCTCTCACTTCTGTTTCCTTTTTCTTCTATCTTCTCCTTTCTTCACTTTTCCCCCCTTTTTCTTCTTTTTCTTTTACTTCTTTCTAATACACTTTCGCTCTATTTCTTCCTCGCATTCTTTGTCTTTCCGTCCTTTTTTCTTACTTCTTCCTCCTTTTCTTCTTCATTAATGCTCTTGCATTTTTCTTTTTTCCTCTGACATCTAAAATCTGAGCCGAGAAATACATCGGTACAGACCATGAAGTGATCCAGGTAACCCTCCTTATGATGCTAGTCAATAAAATGGACCAGGGACTGGACGTCCTAGGCCTTTAGGAACTGAAAGCCCCTTTCTAGCTTAAATAACAAATGTTTGGTTGTTTTACAGCTTGCATCTTTGCTTAGTGACTCAAAACTTTGATATCATCATGCAATTTGCTTTGTCATTTTGCGAATATATTTTTCTGTTCATTAATTAACTTTGTTTTTTACCTTAATCAGTTGATGTAATGTTGTAGGTCTTTTTAATGTTTTTATTGCACCTTTTGTATAAACATGATTATTAATGATAGATTGATATTATTTGATTAGCTTTAACGTAGCCTGAATATTTCGTGGCAAAGCTAGATTACTTGGAATACTATTGCTATCACTTTTTCAGGATATCGCCTTATCCATACTTTTCTGCAGAAGCAAGGAATGAGTTATTCGTAGCGTCATGTAGGACATGACCAGTCAGCTCCTATAGATAATTGTCTTTTGCAAGAGGGTTTTCACTATTGTAGTCAAAATATCGAATTGAATTAAATTTGGAATTTACCAATGTCCTATTTTGTCTTTTTCTGATTTTTGTTTAATTGTCATTTTTTCTCCATAACACAAACTTTTATTATCTGACGCTTTCTCTATTTTAAAAGTTGAAGATGATTTAATTGTTGTTTCAGTTTATTAAGTGGCTATTCTTTTGTGTTTTCTAAGGCCGCTGACTGCTTCAAAAGAGAACAGCCAGCTAATTTCTGAAAAAATTGTTTTTTTCTCTTGGAATCTCGAACTAGGTGAGACGTTAGCGGCCGCTGATTGGTTAAAGAAACAAACAATTAATCAACTGCATCTTTATTCTTCATACGCCAATTTCAATACAGGCCTGGATGACATTTTCTCCTTTACTCTCCTCCTTGCGAATTTTATGCTCTCAGGAGTGTCAAACGAAAATAACTTCAATATGCTGTGTTTCCCCATTTCGTTTCATATTCAAAAGTTAGAATGCTACGGTTCAAACTTTGTAACAGATATATGGAGAAAGCCATTAAAAGGGCTTGTGAAGCCCAACGAAACAAATGCATATAGCTTCAGCATGAGGCAAAAAGTTATAAGTACGGTAAAACAAAACCTTAAAATCTTAAATGATAATATAACATTTTGGAAAACCGTTAAACCATTCTTTTCGAACAAGATAAAGTCAGTTTAAATCATGAATCGCAAATGGGTGAGATGATTGTCAATTATGATGAAACTTATTGAGCTCACCAGCAAACAAGAAAAACCAGTCAAAATTAGCTCCTACAAAGGGCTTTAAGAATCCAATAGAAGTAGCCAATTCTAATCATTCAATCATTTAAAAAATAAAAGAGGATGTCTTGTATACTGATAAATTTAATTTCAAATTGTGCAGTGAATATGAACTCAAGACCTTGCTAAACTCCCATAGGCAGTGTGTAGTGTGAAGACGTGACTTAATCACATGTCAGGACCAGTGGCGTTTCTACGAATGGCCCCCTCCCCAGTAGTGTTCTTTACCCCTTCTTTGGTCCCCCTAGTTTTTCAAAAGTTTCTATGAAAATTCAATGTTTTCTTCCAAAAGCTGTTAAATAATTTTTTGCCTTTGTTAGGGTTGCTCTCTTTTTATTTTGCTCAATGCGTTCTTTATTGCATTTATTTAAAAAGCTATGGGTTCTGGTAAGCGTTTTGCTTTGTAACCGAGGTGAATATTAATGAAATTTTGTCTCCCTTCTTCAGTTACTAAGAAAAAATAATTCTTGAAAATCATTTGAATTCTATATTTATTATGTATTATGACGAAGATACACCTTCTTGGTGTGGGGTGCACCGGGTAAACCCAAACCAAGATTCTCCACATCCCATTGATAACCCTTTTCACTCCGGAAGACAGCGCAGTGAAATACCAATATTATTCCAGTATACGTTGGCAATCTACTATTGCTAATCGAAATTCTATGATTTGAAATTCTGTGTAACAGAATGATTCGCTTGATCTCATGGAGGTTGGATATAAGATATGACTACTATGGAAACATTTTACCAATCAACTTTACAAAGCTATTAGCCTTTTATTTTTAAAAGTATAGGTCTTCTTTTGAAATCTAATGTTCATGATGCATTATTGTTAAACAGATAAAACTCAGTGGAGTAACGGCCCAAAGTTACCTTTAGTTAAATAACAAACGGTCCCGCACCTTTTGAGGCCCCCAGCAACAATTTTTCTTTGTTATTTTTTTCAGGGGACGCAGCTGCTCGTTACGCCACAAATAAAACTATTCGGCAAAATGATAACAGACTTGATACAGCTCTACCAAGGACATACTTATCTAGGGGGCGCTAAAAATCGGTGCCTTGTAGCTAATTTTGAGCCAACACGCCACATTCTGCTAGATGGCCCCTTTTATTGAAAGCTGACCCCCAGCTAGCCCCCCCAGATTTTTTAGGCTAGATTCGCCACTGGTCAGGAAATATATGAGTGTGAGAGATTTCTAGAACACGGGAGCAATTGTGTTACAGTAAATATAGATTACCATCATTGTGTTTCTTACCTTGTTATATCTGATAATAGTTTAAAATTGTTTACAGTGTACATGTAAAGGTCTTAAAAAACTAAAATGCTGATATTTTGCTAACATTTTACCTGAATCATTTAAGCGAGGCCCATTTGTATCCTACCTTCAGCAGGAATTACAAATAATTGCAAATTTTTTAAGGAGCTAGATTTAGCAGTGATGCCCTTCTGAAGTTCCAAAGGTATCTGGCACGTTAGATCCGACTCAGAATAGTGATAAACAACGCCTTCAGCACATGGAAATAAGTTGTACTGCAAGGATCGGTCCTAGAGCTGCTTCTGCTCAAATAAAGTGATTTGAGAACAAGTGGAGTTGATGCAATTTTATCATTATTCCGTAGCTTAACTATACCCCGCAGATCTAAATGTATCATGATATAGATGCAAATAGCAAATTAATGTAATCACAGAATATGATCTTTCATCTATACTGTGATTTGCACCCAGGAAAGAGCATTACAAACTGCATACAAGGACCCTCCTCAACCTTAAAAAAATAATTCGGTTATCATTCATCAGAGATGCCTAAAGTTGTTTTTGGTAGAAAACTAGAAGAGAAAACACATTTTGAATCTTATTTCTGTATAAAAACATCTGAGAGGACAACTTAAAGCAGTGCATGCAATGGTAGATGTTTACCTCGAAATTACCAATATTGAAAAACTAATAGACTTGACAGAGACGCTGTTGTAGACTATGCAAGTTTATATGCAATATGTAGGGAATTTTAAGATTACTCCTGCATTGATTTCAATACCCACAACCACAGTATCCGCCCGAATGGCACGACCGGACAGTCCGCCCCTGAAAACTTTAACTCCTCACAAAGTTTTCCATTGCAAGAAAGCTGACAGGGACTCTCTCCACTCTTTCTTTTGCTCACATTATAGAGGTTTTTTAAGAGATCTCTATACGTAAAATAAATGGAACGAACTCACAATTTGAGAATTCAAATAAATAAACAAATCTTTCATTTCTCCATCTCAATTTCATTCCTCGATCCTTACTAACTGAACTTTCACACCCCATTGTTTCCATGAATATGAGTTAAAGCCCTGTTTACATTACAACTTTTAGCCCTGTTTACATTACAAAAGAGTCCTCTTCTAAATGGTTCAACCCACAAGGTTCCAAAATTGTCCGAAGGAAGAATCGCCGATTTAAGAAATGGAAGCACTCCTAAGCACTTCAATGCAGAGCTTCTTGTGTCCTGGCTTGCAACTTATGCACCAAAGTTATCAAAAATGAAAAAGCTACTTTTGTCCGTCGCATCAACAACAAAATATTCAAAAACCTCTGCAAATCATCCGTTGATTAACGAATATGGATCCTCTTCTAGCAACAACCTTGTTATTACCCCCTTCATCCTTATCACTGTCGCCCATTAAGTTCTTCATCCGCAAAAGCTCTCCTCCTACTGAATACCTCTAAATCTACAGGATCTAACGGTATACCAGCAATTGTTCTCAAAGCCTGTTCGCGCCAATCCTTAACAAACCTTTCCTGCTCTCCTATTCATTTTTCATCTTCCAAACCTCGAGGAAACTAACCCAAGTTTTTCCTGCTCCTAAAAATGGGGACAGGTCTGACCTGACCAAAAACAATGACCTGACCGTATTTCCAAAACAATGGAGACAATCATTACCAAACAACTTCTCACCTTCCTTGAAAACAGAAAACTTCTTTCTGATCATTTTTCTGCAAAACATCATTTTTGAACACAAAATGTCGCAATTGATAAGAATCAATTAATTTACAAAGCTAATGTTAAACGTTCTAAGGAGCTAGGAACAAAGGGGGGGGCAGGCTTAAGTTAAAGGGCCTTTGAAAGATATCTCCCAGCTTCTACCTATTCCTTCTACTAACTGCCATTTTATTTCGATCTTCTGTAGGTATCTTGAAAATTGGCTGCAATCAGAATATCATGTGAATTTCCTGAGAATTACAATTGTCCAGTTTAAAGGGTATTTTAATCAAAAGGCCACGTTGGCCCCTCTTATCAAAAGGCAACAGGGGTGGTTGACCCCCACACCCCCTTCTTCGGCGTCTCTGTCATCGATAAAACCATCACATTCATTTTTTGTACTTTCCTAGTTGCTCAATATAATGTCATTGCTTACCTGTTACTAATATAAAAGAAAATGAGCCTCACAGCTAAAAAAATTCAGGAAAACGCATTAGTAATTACCAACTTTTATTTGGTTCTCGTTGAAATATTGAAAACTCTTATACAAACTATAACGATCTACAAGCTACCTATAGTAGAAGATGCCAAAAGTGTTGAATAAGACAGTCCTTTCAATTCTGTGAATCTTGCGAAAACAATATTTGGCAATATTGATATGAAGGAACATCACTAAACGACACGGAGCTACTCAATATACTACAAATTAAACCAAAAAAATTTAAATTTAAATTTTTTTAATAATTTTTAGATCATTATATTTAACTTATTTGATTTTTAGATTTAAAATCATTAAATTTTTTTTTTAGTAATTAATGAAAAACTAAAAAATTCCACTAAGTTATAATTTTTTCCGGGCATACGGGTTTCATAAGAGTAAACGTATCTGATATTACAATCACAGTCGTAACATTCTAACTAAATGATCAAACTTGGTTTGTTCTAATCCAATGATGGTCATCTATCATTAATAATCATGTTGATTCATTTCATAATTATCAATCAAAGCTGCGTCGATAAGCATAGCTACGATACAAAAGGGTAACAAGATTACATCACTTGACTCATGTAAGGAAACAAACTAATCAGTTAACGAAATGATGGTGGGTTGGGGTAAAAAATCCATACAGTGTTAAAGTGATATTATAAAGCGTCAAAGTAACACGGCAAATAGCATTTATAGTGATCAAAGTATCGAATGACGTGGAAAATAGTACGACACAAAGCAACCAGGTATTTACAAATAATGCCACAATGAAGATTTTGAAAGCTTCTTCGCGAAAGCAAAAGCTTGTTCACTTGATGGGCTGAGAATTCTTGGGAGAAAAGAGAGAAGGAGGGGGAAAAGATGTTAAAGGAATAAACGAAATGAGAATGGAATCAATATGAAGAAACAGAGAGAAAATACGAAGAAATAAGAAGTAAGAGGAAGAGAGATAAAGAAAGAGTAAGAAAGAAGAAAGAGTTTAAAAAGAAAAAAAAGAAGAGAAAAGAGGAAGATATAGGATAAAAAAGCGTGAATGATGAAAAAGAGGATGAAAGAGGAAGAAAAAATAAATCATTTTTCACTTTTCTGATTTTTCGCTTTTGCTTAAACTATCTTCAAATCTATTTCCTTGATCTTTTCTACTTGTCTCCTTTTTTGTGTTATTTTCCCGTTTTTCCTTATCTAATTTTCATTTGCTTTGTCGTTTAGTTGAAAATAGACTTGTAGCAATTTAAACTTGTATATCTGTTTGTTACTGCGAGCCATAAAACCTTACTGTCGAGAATACAAAATATGTCGTACTTGAATCTAATCCACTTTAGTTATCTATCAAGAATGGGGTTAAAATATAGTAGCTTTGTCAATGTCATTGATGGATTTGGCACTTGTTTCAAACCCTTGTCAGTGTAAAGCTTTGATACTTCACCGTTGACTTTTGTGATCATCGTCATCAGATCGTTTTTCTTTGCCAGTTTTGAAAAAACTTCACAAAGCTTTGATATATACCAAGATCCTTCAGTGGTATTTCGCCAACTCTTGAAACCTAAAATGAAATGTAAATGCCGCGAAATCATGTCTCTGTCTGTATACGTTTCGCAACAAGATGTGCCAATTTATCAGTTTTGTGATGACGTGCATATCAAATCTATGATAGCCAAAGTGTACATTGTCGAGCCCAAAAAGATATACCCAGCCATGTGATTGTTTGACTTCGTTCAGGTTGTCTGGTTTCCTCTTTTTTCCAACTTAGTATGTCTTCTAATATAAACTAAGATTGAAGTGAGTATAACGGGGAATTCAATCATGCCTTGTCAAAATGTCCTCGTCGATGAGCAAATAATATAAATCAAAATAGATGATAGCAACGAAATTCACGTCACGCCATAGAACTTGCTGTTTACGTTTTGAAACAGATTCAAATGAGTACATTTCTTTCATTTTGCATTGCATCATGTATGCAACATTATTGATTTCAATAAAACAAATTTCGAGAAAGGAACAGCATGTCGTATCAATTTATGATGTGGCATAAATTTTATTTAAAGAATTGCATTATTTAGAATGAGGTGAAAATTTTATGATATAGATGGCATCGTCAGTTTTGGAATCCTTCTAAACAGAAAAACATTCATACCTGAAGGAGTTGCGTAACCAATAAAAATATCACTAAGCATAGGAAATGTTGCTGTCTGTTGGTCATCAATCCCGTCTGAAAAAACTTCCCCTGGTACAGGCATTCCTTTGTCTTCATTGGCTCCTCTGCAACATTGCAAAAAGAATAATTTTGGCTTGTCGATCAAAGATCTGCAACTATCTGCATCGAAAAGTTGGATCATATCATCTATTGGGAAACCCTTGCCATCAACACCGAATATTTCTTCCTTTCTTGTTCTTAAGTTTTTCCCTCCATGACTCAATACACATGTGACAAAGCAGTCATACTGGCTATGATCGAGTTTCGAACAATCTGAAGATATTTTCCACATTTCCAAGGCTTTTTTGTTTTTGTAGATTTTAACTTCAAATCCAAGCCATGTGAAAATCAAATTGAGGTTGCTTTCATCCACATCTGAACCATCTCGATCAGACAGCCCCGTGTCTGTGCTTTTCCTCGATTCTCCGAAGTCAACGTTATTGATGATAAGACAAATGCCTTTGGGGGAGCTGGACATTTTGTAGCGTTCAACTGGATCTTCTTGTAGAGAACTAGTCGCTTTGCTGCGTTTTGCAGTAGGTTCTTCATTAATATCACGAAGATCCCTTGACACTCTTGCCTCTCGTCCAACAAGAGATGAAACTTTGGAGAGAAAGGGTAATCATTTGAGTCGACTAAGACTGTAGTATCGTTTTTACTTCAATCTGATGACAGATTTCCATACAGCTCTGTTATTTGTGATAGCCTATCAGGAATTCATTTCTATGTGAAACCATTTCATGTCTTCCTTGGTTTCTTTTTCTTTTAAATACAAAATTTTATCAGAGCAATTTTTTTAGAAGTCGGACATTTTCCATCCTGTGTACAATTTTCTAACCATCTACGATTTTTCTTTATGAGAATATCAGCCATATTTTACAGGTTTTCACAGGACAGGAAATCCACGTTTTACCAATCCAGTTGGTGATCATGACATCCTTCAGTTGCCTCTTTAGGCAGGCATGTAGTTTCTCGTGCATTATGTGAATCTTCGAGCTTAATCGAGTCGTAGCTTCTTCAAACCTGTCTATAAGCAACTGTATATATGCACCACTGTGTGACACTGGTGCACAGTTATCGGCAAACAACATCTTTCTACCTAGATATCTGTTAGTTTGAGATTTTGCCTCGAAGTGGACCACTTTGAAGAGGCCAGTCAAATTTAGGTTAGAATATTTGACGTATATTGTTTATGGCACATTGAGGGGTGGGAGAGGGGGTATTTAGTAATAAAACTACCTTATCTTAGAATTCTCAACTATCATAACGTTTGCACATAATTGAATCCTTGTTGCATGCATTATTGAGCAAGTATTACAAAAAATCAATTATTAAACAATAAAATATATATTACCCACCTTTCTGTCGTTTCACCATGTCAATCGTGTCACCTGATAAATAATGAAGAAAATAAACATTTGAAGTTGGGCGAAAAAGTGAAATTTCATCTAACTAAAATATCGAAAATTAATTTTTTTCTCGAATCCTGCTTTTAAAGTTAACTTATTTCTTCGAGACATTTAAATGCGCAAACATTTTGGTAACAGCTGAAAGGTGTTTTAAGTCAGTTTTGCAAAGACATGAATTTTCAATATAAAGTTATCTTCTTATGGTAAATCTTGGCCTAGCTGAAAAAACTAACATTTTGGGGGGCCATTAAGGGAAGGGGATTTATCAAAAGGCATGTTTGCATACAAGAGGAGGGGGCTGGTGGAGTTAGAGTACGTACGAAAAATGTTTTTTTTGAATAGGCTTTTTCCAAAATTAAGTTTTGATCATTGGTTTAGAGCTTCAACCATCGGATGGGGTGCATATGTCTTGCAATGTGGGCATAAAACTTGTACAAATTCGTCACCACGGTTAAGGTTGTTTATTATGGACCTTAGAAAAAAATTTACGTATTATCTTTTGAATCGCTGTTTTAATTACAAAAAGTTCCTTTTTTTGACTGCTGCCTTGTGCAATTCTTTAAGCCATATAGTATTATCTGTGCTGTGTATAAGCATTAACAAGACTTGCCTTCAGTTAACTTTTGTAGACTTTTTGTTGTCAAGGGGCTCTCCTGGTAAACGAAGTCAACTTCTTCAGGTGACTCTAAAAGAACTAAATAGAAAGTAGTTTGCGTCATTAAAGATATGCAACACCTCCAGCCGTCGTAAGATTGATCGTTCTATTTGAAGCCTTAACCTCATTTGCAAATCCGTAAAAGGACACAGGTGACACAGAATTCTATGCCGCCAAATGCCAGGAGAGAAAGGATTGTCAATTCCTTGGCTGAAAATGGTTAAAATGTGACAAATTAAGAGGCCCGGGAATTTAGGTTGTAAATACACCCCCAAATGAACAAAGCCGTGTCCCTTTAAGTAGGTACTCTCCTCTAAGTACCTCGTGCCATGTTCGCTGTAAATATCGGAGACGTATCCAGACTGACATTATTGGTGCCCAGAAGTCAGTCAGTTTTCAAACATTGACTAGCATCAAATGTAATTGAGCAGAAATCAATTTTTTGAACAACTTCCTTAGGTTATTCTACAATGCACTGTTGTCCTTTCTTCTCTTCCAAAGGGATGACATGAATACATTGTCAAGATTACAAAAAAGTTTATAGAATATCTCCTTTAAATATATTCTTACCTCCAAGCGTATTTTTAAGGTCTTGAATTGTAGTTGCCGAAGTAATCATATGTTTTATTAACCAGCCATCAGGATGCTTCACTTTTACTTCAAACTCTATAATACAATACTTCGAGTTTCATTTCAGCTGACTTCATATGTACGCAGCAGTTGAAATATATCAATTGGTATCAGCAGAAACCGATTTTATATTTTATCAAGGCCCTCCACATAATTTTTGCTTATGCTGGGGCGACGAGCCAGATAAGTCTTTTACTGAGCGAGGAAACTCCCGTCCTCGAGTCAAAGAGCATAGGCGCTGAACCAAACATTACTACGCGTGCACTTTGACTCTAAGACGGTGGACCACCTCACACATCTTCAAATTTTCTCCCGTTCGCTTCCCCATTAGGTATGTAATTTCTGAAACAGGGCTGTCCAATATACGACTCGAGGGACAAATACTAGCATGCGAGCAGGCTAATCTTACATGACCTTCAAAGAGAATTATTGTGGCCAGTGAGCTATGAAGCCAATACTCTAAAATAGAGAATTTGAAATGAATAATTGTTTATGGTTCGCAGTAAAATTTTGTTTATATGACTCTACATGTTTACACTACAGAAAAAATAACGGAACTCCTTGGTTCCGTGCCTGAAAAAAAGCGACGATAGCCCTTGCGTTGTTTACGCTAGGCATCTTGGTTCCGTGCTTGTTTGGGAACGGTTCCGTTCCTTTTTGATTTCGCTGAAATGAGAAACTCTTTAGCTTCTTTCCCAAATCGTGCTTGTTTTCTCTAGTGTAAACGGTGAAGAGCGGAATTTTCTGGTTACGATTGAAAACGGGGCTTAATCTAGGGTTAGGGAGAGGCTTTTTGAAGATGCCAGACGTCATTGCCGAGCCACTGCGCATGATTCACATGAAAGTTCCATTGTTTTAACTCAAGTAAAAACAGGCTCAAATTGTAATCCGTTTCTTAGCCTCAGTGTAAACGCGATGAAAAATGAGTCATCGTGCCTAAACAAAAACGGAACCAAGGAGCTTCGTTCCTCTTTCTGTAATGTCAACGGGGTAATTATCTTAAAAAAACTCAATTTGCCTTTCTAAAGAAATACTTGAACGATGTTCATCAGGTTGTTAACGGGATTCAAATCAAATGCTCTTCCCATTATTGCTACAACTTTCCTTTAATTCTTCATATGGGTAATGAAGTGTATTTTTATGTCTGAGGTGTTTTATTGCCAATCAGCAAATTAGTTTATGGCCTTTCACATGAATTCTAATTTGCTGTTTTTGATAGGAATTGCAAAGCAACCCTATTGGATTTTTAAAGCAAGAAAATTATTTACGTATAACAGATGCTAGTTATACTAGTTGTTGGTCAAACCAGAGTTAAGCTATACTTATGTTATGTTTTGGATTGTAAGTCGAAGAGTAATATAAGTAGATCAGATGTATGGTTCTTCTTAAAGACTCATTGCTAACAATGAGGCATTGCGCTACGCAAGCATCCCATAATGCATTTTCAGACAGTCTGAAATCAATTCACTGTCATTGTTTGGATCGTCGCCTCGCTTGCAAAGGCCTATTGTTAGCAATGAGGCTTTAAGTTGCAGCTTTACTATTTGGAAAGATGAGGGGAGATAAAATGAAGGCGGAAAAAGATGCTCATTTATGTGACGTCACATTCTGAATTACTACAACATATAAAAAAAAAGCCTTTCAGCTAGATTCAACAAAAACTGTATAAATATTACTCACCTCTTTGGGATATCTCCATATCAATCGTGTCACCTGATAAACATTCAAAATTATGAACTATTTTAGACGATGAAAAAAATAAAATTTTCCTTTAAGGAATCAAAGATATCATAAACAGCTATTCGTGAGCTCCATAATCTTTCTGTGGGTCGAATGCTATTTTATTACTCAACTATTGCTTCTTGCGATCCAAATACAACACCGACAAAAATATAAACTGTTTTAGATGATGAAAAAAAATAAAATGTTCCTTCAGAGACAGCTATTCGCGAGTTCCCTAATTTCTTTGTGGGTCGAATGCTATTTTATTACTCAACTATTGCTTCTTGCGATTCAAATAGAACATTACATTCGTGTGATTTTGAATCAGTTTGTTAAGACAAGGAATACTGAATAATAAAGTGATATCTTATATTTTGAATTTTCTAAAGAAAATTGGAATTTTTGAATTGCTGTTGATATACTTGCCTCGTGTTAGCCTCTGCATATTTTCATTTGTCAAATGAACGTTCTGATGAAAAAAGGCGACGCATCCAGGGTACACTGAAAGAAATGATATCGCTTTCAGAAAGAATGTTTCTCTTTTTCCTTTGCCTTTGAATTCCTAAATGTTTTTTTCTTGCAAACATTATAAAGGTGTTTGATTATTTAAAACATAACATCACTACCGGTTTTGATCAAGGGTCAAAGTAGCGACAGAGTTAGGGGCAAAGGGGCTCGAGCCCCCCCACAACTTTTTAGAGAGATGCTTGTCTTCAAAATGTAATTTCGAGAACCTCTATGTTCTATATAATGGTGAAAACTAAAGCGCAAGCCCTACATTGTAAAACCTATTTCGACCCCTAGTTTTGATATTGATAGGAATTAACGAACATAATTTTTATCCACCACATATTTTTTATCTGGCTCCTGTGTTTTACATGCTCGGCCCCAATTTTCAAAACGGCATTATCATTTTATCAAGATTGCAGAACCCCCAGTGATAAGGGGCAGAGGCAATGGTCTCTCCCTTGTTTGGCAAAGAAATAGAGCTTTTTCACAAATTCTGTTGCTATAGGTCTTTAATTTTTCCTTGTTCCCTACTCTCAAACTCGCAACGGAACCCCTGATTCACAAAACATTTGGCAGAAGATCGCTTTTCAAAGCATTATTTTCAAAGTGATTATGTTGTGAAAATATTTTTTCAGAATCTTACATTTTCACCAATTAACCTGAAAGGGCATGGTGAAATTTCTCTAAATGTAACTATTAGTTTGTAACAAGCGTGTAAGTATGTAACAAACTGGTTAGTCACACGAGCAATGGTTTTTACCAATCAAATCTCTGTAATTTGGTAGCGGTTCGTAACGAGGGACAAATCACTGCTTAAAATCAAAACGCTAACAAAAATATCACACTTAAATAAAAAACTTTTGACATTCACCATAAAAATTAGATGAAAGAGAAAAATATCATGTTATTCCAAATAATTACTAGTCAGATTAATTGAAAATACGTAATTCTTTGACTATGATTACCTGCCTATGCAATTGAAAAAATGAAATATTTAGAATGTCGCTTTCACACTTCTCCAATTTTTTTAGGAACAAGTTGATAAATCTCTAAACACACGCTCATGAACAAAACAACGGCGAATTTTTTAAAGTACACTGCGCTGGAGAAGAAAACATTAGCCTCGTTCTACCACCAGTGTCATTGAAAAAAATACTGCTGTTGTTGCCTAATGCCCAGTTCTCTTAAAAAATCTTTTTTAATGTAGGATTATATGATTAAATTTGAGTGATATTAGCGCTATTTTTTTCGCCAAAAGAATATATGATTTTCATCTATTATCGTGTAAACGTGCTAAAAATCTGCATCATATGCAACTTTTAGCACTAAAGTTCTTATAACTTTGCCCCTCGGTTACAATGATGTAAGTTTTTTTTATCTTTTTTATTCACTTTATTCAATGTTGGTTTACAAAATAATAGCTAACAAACAGCCAATTAACACCAACTTGTAACAATAACAAATATAACTAAGAAAAATCGTGATGTTATTCATATGTCATTCATATGTTTGTTTGCTTTTATTTTATTTCAGGTGGTCAAAAATCAAAACACATTTATTCTATACACAAACTCTATTGCCTTTTTCAGAGGATTCTTGAATCGTCTATCCACCGAAAATATCCGTGCTCATGCATGTATTCTTACCTTTCAGTGCAATTTCGAGATCTTGAATTGTTGTAGCTGGAGTAATCTCCATTTTAATTGTCCTTCCGTCCAGATGGTTCACGCATATTGAAAATCCTAGGATTTAGATGCTTTCCCTTATATGTTGATAAGTTGATTATTTTTTATTGAAAAGAAAGTCAAAACTATCATCAAGAGATGGAGATTGCTTGCAATGAATGGTTGTATTTGTCCTGAAAACAACAATCAATCAGCAATTATATAAAATGGAAAATCAAAACTAAAACAGTTGCCCAATAAGGTATTAAATTCTTCGAACGATTGAATGATTTGACAATTTTGAGCTGGTCGATAAAGTATCGCAGTGATCAGTAGAAAAACTAGACATTCTTGAAGGCCTAACAAAGGAACTAGACAACCTATTTGCTATTGAGACAAAATTTTGGCAAACCCTAATACAAAAGATAGAGAAAGCTGTTATTTTTGGCGATATATATTTAAGTGTTTGAATTTTTTTGAATATCGAAAGCACGACAGTGTGTCAACAGAATATTAAAAATCATAATCTTTCATAACTATTTCAACAAAAAAATTGACTCCAATTATTTTTAGCAAGAAAGTTTGACTTGGTTCAAACTTAAAAAAGCATCAATGAGTTTGGTCTTTTCAGCTGTTGCTTCTTTCATTCTCTCACTAAGTCTAGTTAAGATATATTTAAGTCGAGTTAAGATATATTTACTCTCTCACTAAGTCTAGTTAAGATATATTTAAGTATTCAGAATTCAATTTTAAATGATTAGGCACAAAAAAGTGGTACAATTTTTTTAGAAATTTACAGATTAATTTTTTAAAAGAAGGAATGCTCTTTCAACAAAGATGGATCTGTAAAAAGTTAGTTCAGTGCGTTTATCTGCTATTAAACTGTTTGTGATTTTAACATTGCACTGAAATAGCATTTGCTGTTTATTTTCTGTTTTCTCGATTATACGTCATAACAGTATGTTTTCTCAAACAGGTTTAAAGCTTTTTACACAACCCAACGGACATTCTATATAAATTGTTTTATCACAATATGAAATACTATTGAAATCACCTTTTTAAAATCAAATCAAATGCTAAAGTTTGAAGCACTTCATAATTTATGAAAAAAATTGAAAGTTAGTAAACTAAGTATTTGCAACAACAATTTAAAATAGATTCTTTATACATAGTCCTCTTCATATCTAGCTGACATTTCTAGAATATCTAGGATTCAGAGAAGGGCTATAGAGGTAGTTCCCTGACCTATCAAAGGCTTAATGAGCTGTTGTGCAATACCTCGTAAGTGCTAATTTTTCATGGCACATCTGTCCTTTTTCATATTTCGCTTTGAGCAAAAATAAATTTTATAAGTGGACGAAGCTCGAAATGAGTGAAGTTTATCGACAGTCAATCTGTCCATTGAACTGAAGAAGCACCAAAACACGCACAACTTTCACGCTAATCAGCCTATTATAGTATATTATTTTTGTAAGATGTTTTCAAGATAAAGATGAAAAGTGGAAAAGATTTGCACTTTTCTAAATGTTTATCAAATTTAAACGTCGTAACCCTTAAGTATCATATAAAAAAACTTAAGAAATAGCACCAAAAGTATTTAAGATGCAAATTAAAGTATTTTATATTAATAAAAGCCTTAGGTATACTTATTTGGTGGAAAACTTGGGCGGGGTTGGGGCAGAAGACAGATATATTTTCTAAAAGCAAAATAGATTTTACCAACCTTTTGACTTTTCGAATGACCTGATAAAATCACCTGATAAAAATTAAAAGATTTAAACAAAAAAGTTGTGTATTTGAGTGAAAGTCAAGTTATTGGTTCTGGTATAGTATAAAGGCTTTTCTTGCAAAGCTAGCACTAGCATTAAAATTTGCAAAACCTATTCTAGCACTTTTTGTTATCGTTTACCGTAAATTATCTTTTTAACCCCCTTTCAATCAAACCCAACAATCTTATTAGCCCCCCTTTCACTGATGGTAAAATTATTATACTTGTCAAAAAACAGAGATTTTAATTTTTTCACTAGTCGTTCGTTCAATACTGCGCATTAAATGAAAATTCACACCATGTCTCTTCCAGTCACGACAGACCCGAAGACAAAGATTTAATGTGCATTAAGCACAGGCCATGTGAGAGCCTTACTATTAAAATTACAGGCTGTTGGTTCTGCGAAGGATGAAGTCGACCTTTTTAAATGCTCGATTTCAGAATGCGACACCAAGGAGATATTTTAGAATTAATAGTTGATGACGATGACGATGACAGTATTATTGTGATAGAAGGCTGATTTGACGTTTTTCATTTTGCAAATAACAAAAGATTAGTTGATCACTATAAGTGGTTTTTTACAAAAATCTATTAAACCCCCTTTCTCAATTTAGCTCACCCACTTTTATAAGCCCCCTTTTAAAGCGATGAAAGCAATGAGCCCTCGGGGGCTAAAAAGAGAATTTACGGTACTTCAGACTCCACAATAACTATTTTGTTCCTTTAATGCAGAATTCATGGATACTTGCCTTGTGAGACCTTTTGCATATTTTCATTCGTCAAAACCTTCCCATGATGTAGGAAGTAGACTGGTCCGTAGGAATCTAAAAGCAAAATCACAAAGAATTTTCTATATATCTCTTCATACCGGTGTTTCTCTTAAACCCTTGGAATCAGTATCAAGTTAAATAATCTAAGGTTCATCACTAGTTTTGAAAATAATCTACAAATTCATCACTGGTTTTAAAATTGAAAAAAGCGACCAACGCATTTTGCTGAATTTTAAAATAGAATTGCATAATGTAGATAGCCAAATAACAGACTGAGTATTGAAATATCAGCTAATTAAGAGAGGCACTGATATTCAAATTGCAAAGCGAAACTCCATAAGATGACATAATCACATTGTCACAAACAGCTTACCTCCAAGATATTTACTAGTAGATTACTTGTAGTGTAACCTTACCTCCAAGATATTTTTCAAGATCTTGAACTGTAGTTTTGTTAGTAATTCTCCGCTTTAATGTACCGACACTTGTTCCAATGGACACATCAAATCCTAGAATACAAATTATCTTCTAAGCGGAAAAGCGAAATTGCCTTGATTCTGTCACATCCAGCTTTTTAAGAAGTGACATAATAGTGCTGTTCACTTCTTCTTTCTATTCTGTTGAAATATTTGATTATATGCATTTTTGCTTATATTTTTTCAGTGTGAAGATACTACGAAAATTTTTAAATAAAATTAATAAAGAGTGCAGGAAAAGAACCGACCCGAGCGAGGCTCGAATTCACGACCCCTGAGTATCGGGTCGTGCTTTCAAGCCAACACCCAAGGCCGATTCATTAACCCGCACTGCCCCTCTCTTTTACCAGTTACACAGGGGAGCCATCGCAGCTCCATCACAATGTGCAGAGGACCCGAAGAGTGAGAGAGGACTGCCCACGCCAGGAGGGCCATCGCAGCCCCAACACTGGAGAGGGTTGAAGAGAAAGTGTAAAGACAACAGGATTTTTTTCACTTCATTTACTTCATTTACTTCACATTTTGGCATTTGTTTGTATTAGGATAAAACTCTTGATTTAATTATCCACTCGACTTGATTCCATGTAAAAATGGAAAACCGAACAAAATCGATAAGAAATCAGCTTGGCCAAAAACGAGAAAAGGAGTATATTGTAGGATGAGTTACTGACATTTGGGAAGACCTTCGAGAAAATGTAGCATTGAGAAAAGCAGATAATTGCTGCTTTATAGATAAATCAGTGGTTAAAATGGCTCTGACGAAGGATGAAAAACCGAAACAAAATAAGTAAAAACTGGCTTTGCTACGGTGAAATCTCCAGTGTTAGCTTCGGAGATACCTCACTCATTTCATTGGGCTATTTGGCTCAGTAGAATGAGCGTGGGTGTATTTGAAGCACCAAATATTTATATTGTATATAAATATATTCATATATATATATTGTATATAAATAAAATATGTATGTTGTTTACTGCAACGCTATTTTGAAAGATGAAGGGGATGATAATGAAGCTATGTGACGTTGTTTATGTGACGTCACTATAATACCTATACATTTTAACTTTCAAGCAGGGTATATATCTACTTACCTTTCGAACGATCCACCACGATAATTGTGCCACCTTTTTGAAATAAAAATTTGAACGTTCTTAGAAAAAGTAAAAATTTTTGAAAAATGAAATTTCAAAGTTAGCTTATCAAGAAAACTAAGAATGTAAAGAGAATGATTCGTGAATTTTATTTTTTTTTGGGTAATTTAGTCATTCGTATTTCTAGGTAATTTTAGCCTCTATAAAAATAGGTTTATCTGACAAATGACGGTACATCTCGCAAAGTTGAATCTGGCTGGAAATCTCCATTAAATGTTTCGAATCGCTTTATATAGAGAACTATTTATGATATTCACCTGAAAACGCTCTTGGTATTTTAATACTCTGCCATAAGGATTATATATGATATTATTACTCTGCTTCCCAGCCTTCTTCTGTACTTACCGTCAGATACTCTCTGTATATATTCATTTTTCAAAGGAAAATCGTTATAACAGAAGTCAACGGCTCTATGTGTCACTAAAATAAAATTGATATTTGTTGTCAACACATAACTGATCTTTGCATTCTTGTATACCCCCTTTTACATTCTTACTTTATAAGAGCAATTTTATAAGAACAAGAGCCTCAAAATTGGTCCAAAGTTGAGAACGAATTAGAAACAAGCTGATTCTGAGCTACTGTGAAATGCAATTTCGAACAATCTTTCATCTCAGAAAACGAGGATTTTTAGCAAACTTTTCGCTTAGATTCTTGGAGCTGACTCGCCGGGTGTACACTATGTAACAGACATTGGGTTGTATATGAAATCATATATTTATATTATGTGTAACAAATTCGTGATGTATTAGACAAATGGAATACAGAAGTTATGACATCACAAAAATCATTCCATAGAATTTTTTAATTTTGACATCCAAAAGAAGCATTATGAAATACCTCTAAATGCGCAAAACCGGTCGAATGTGTTACAAATTGGCTGAGATATGGCAACATAGCACAAGCTCTTTCTCCATCAAACCTCTGTAATTAGGTATTAGTTTCCCAATGTTCACAAGACCAGAATTAAAGTAATCTGTTAACAAAAGTCCATGCAGCATCAGGTACAATCAAAGGCTTAGGCGAAAAAGGGGCTGGAGGGCTGACCCCCCTCCTAACAGGCAGAATTTATCGAAGTTCAGGCCCAGTCAGGCAATTTTATCTCAATGAAACAGAAATTTTCAGCCAATACCCATACCAAGCCCTTTAAACGTTTGACCTCTACTATGCCCATGGGTACAATACGACAGAATGGTAAAACAAAATTTTCAAAGAAATTTCACCTGATACTTTTACAATTTATGCAATCAAAATATTGAACCGAAATGAACACTAGTTTTTAGAATTTACAATTATTTTTTATCCACTTATCAAGCTACATGCGATCTTTTACAGAAGTTTCAAGTGGGTTTAAAAACCTATTTATTAAAACCGGTGCGATATGCGTTTCGGTAACCTTATGCAAAATAGTTCGGGTACAAAAACGCATAGCAATTTTGGTTATGCAAAAACGTACCCAAGCCTTTAAACAATATGTAACCAAAATGGATGTCAAGAATTGTGAATCCAAATCACATCCCAAATGAACAAAAACTCTTAGGCCCCTTTTTCACGCGATACAGAATGATAAAGTTACTTTGTAATAATAACTAAAAAGCCTTGTGAATATCACTATTAAATGTATTCTTACCACCAATACTTTTTTCAAGGTCTTCAATTTTAGTTTCTGGAGTAATCTTACTTTCCAATAGTCGACCGTCTGGCATTCTCAGGTATACACTGATGTCTAGAAGAAGAAGGCCTTTCTATTTATCTCTATAAAGTGGTAGCTTTGGTAGTTTTATATTTGACCAAAAATAATATCTTGGACATAAGATGATCTTTGCTTGCACTAATAGATTTTAAAAACAAGAATCAACTAAAAAATTATGTTGAAGCAAATACGATCAAAGTTTGACCTGGGCAGTCAAAAATAAACTGTTAAAAGACTTATGCCATCTAATTGGCGCCAATTTTTCTCACTTGAAACTTGTAAGTAATAGCTATCTTAACACGTCTGTCAAATGCTGCCACAATAGTATTGGGCGTTAAATTTGATTCTGGCTGTTGATCGGGCTGAAGTCGAAGGTTAATTTCACGATTATGATTTACTAAATATATCGATTTTGGCAGGAATATATCAGATAGCGATGTGTGTAGCAGTATACTTGCAAGCATAAGAATTTCTTTTGGATGACAAAAAACATATATTCCTAATTAGAGGGGTGGGTGGTATTATATTTCGTGTCCTCATATAGATGGCTCTCTGGCAAGTGGACAATGGGAAATCTTTCGTTTCGTTTCAATTTGATCAATACGGATCCATTGTTTTGTAAAAAATGATCTATTCATTCAAAGTGAAGAAATCTTTTATTAATTGGAATTGTAAAAAAACGTTATTTGGGGACTTAGGGTATAGCTTTTTTGACTGGATACAACAGATAAATCAATTACTTCCAATAGCAACCGGCATTCTGGAAAAACCAGACCCTGAGACCCTAGGACCCCTAGGACCCTTGAGTACTGAAGGCAAAAAGGACCCTTAACTATGGGAGATGCAACGACTACCGCACAGCTTGGCTCTAATTGTACGGGGGCTATTCTGCTTGAACAGAAGAGATGTACAGGTATACGGTTAAACGTTAGTGACCCGCAAGTATCCCCCGGTCTAGCAACATAGTGTTTCGATTCCTACGAAACATGGATGACGAAGATAAAACAACGGTTCTTTCTGAGAGTTTAGCCTTCTGTCCTCTCCCAGTGACCCAGTGACATCGGAACGAAATTTTTATTTGGGGGTGGGGTTGGGGTGGGGTGGTTCTCCAATGCATTCCCTCTCATTCAGTACACTATTATAAAGGAAACATACTACAGTTTGACAACTATTGAGGGGGGGGGGGGGGTGCAGCCCGGTTCCGCCTGGCCTGTCGCCAGAGAAAAAGAAAACAGACGATGTTTAGGAAAACGAGGTAAAAATTTCCCCGGAAAATGGAGACCTACACCAACGTCTTGCTGTTTTTCATAAGTTTATGTTAATAAAGGAAATTTCACAATAGCAGGCTGCTCGACGGACAGCTCTGATGAAGCCCCGTATGCCGGGGTGAAATATTAGCTACCATTCTCTTTGGCTCTGAAAAAGTCCATACTTGAAGAAATAGCCCGCAAGAATTAAAGAAGAAACACGCCATTTCACATGCTACATCATTCAAGCAGTGTAGCCTCCGTATAATAAGTTGAACAACATGCAATCAAACCAACGAACGCCATAATGACAGCGCCCTAACAGTTGAGCCAAGCTGTGCGGAAGTCGTTTTTGCATTCAACTACTTAAGGTTCCTAGGGGTCCAGGGGTCCTAGGGCCTCAGGGTCTGGTTTTTCCAGGATGCCATAGCAATCATATCTTTACATACCTTTTTGTAGCACCATGGAAATTGTAGCACCTAATAAATATACAAAAAGATTCGTCGGTTTTCTTGTCTGCTAATGATATCATTTGTAGGCATTTGACATGCATACGTACAGCGAAATCAAAATAACCTAGGCCAAATTGATCAGAGCACGTGCACAAGAAAGGAATTGGAAACTGCTCACGTGAAACCACTGCGCGCTGCTCTACGATTTCACCGATTTGCAGAACGGCAGAAACTGTTCACGTGTTTTTTTCTGTGCGCAGTTTGATTAGTCAACCGCTCGCAGTCGAGTGGCTGTAAGCCACTTTAATGCAATGCTTTTATCTGTGTCAAATGCCTTTAATTTGTAACCCTGTTTAGTAAAACTCCCACTCATCGGTTATATTAAAATTACCAAATGATTTTAGAAGGAGAGGTAACCACAAAATTTAAACAAATTTTGGTGAAAACGTTATACACCAAAATCCACTGATCTCAAAAAAAAGACTGGATCGAGCTTATCCAGCCCAGCGCAGATATTAGGGCATTGTAGCGTCCATGTTGTGTTGCTTAAAAAGAATTAATGTTGGTTAATAACCATTGAAACAAGAATTTGCGGTATTTGTCAGTGACTTTGAGAATGCTTGACAATAGGTTGATCGATCCAGTCTTCATTTTTAGACAAGTGATCTAAATCAGCTTTGAAAAAGCACAAATTTATATCAACAAAGCTATTTTAGCATGATTGATGTTGAATTTGACTATATGGCGAAGTGTTAATTTTTAGCAAGCCTTCTAACATTGGTATAAACTTGCCTTTGGATATCGTATGTAGATTTTCATTTGTCAAAGAAACCCCTTCATGACAAAATTTAACAGCTCCAGGCGATACTGGAAAAGAAATTGACAGCAAATTATACCATCTTCTTTGCTTCTGTACAGTGATGTTTATTATTGTACTCCAGTACATGGAGACGGGGAGGGGGAGGGGGAGGGAGGAGGGTGGTGGAGAGGCAAATGAGGAAATTGCGAAATTGCTCCTGGGCCCATAAGTCATATCTGTCCTGGGGAAGCTTAACAATTCTTTGCGAATATAAATCAAAAGTAATGACAATATTGAATTTAAATTCAAATTAAACGCACAGAAAATTTGACAAAGTTCAACGTTTGCAAATGTGTTGTTTTTTATATCGTAAATGAGATTTTAAATGATCGACTTATTAAATGAGGCACTTCAATCTGGATACAAAACACAACCCTAAATGACGTAAAATTTTGCAATTCAACAAGTCACAGCCATTTGCTAATTGAAATCTCATACTGTGAAGCGGTCCATGTAGATAACTTTTGTAAATGCTAATTCTCTGTCATTTTCATAAAATTCTAAAACATTTAACAGACAATTCACATTATTCACCTATCTCCATTTTCAAAATAAAGACAGTGTCAAGAATATAAAACCGTCCAACAAAATAATACTATTGAGTAAATCTTACCTCTAAAGTCACTTTCTAGGCGTTGAATTGTAGTGTCTGGAGAGATCTTACGTTTTACTAGGCAACCATCAGGTTGTTTAACGTTCACATCAATATCTACAACAGAAATGCGTTTCTATGTAGGAAGAGTTTGAGATTTCCTATTATATGTGGATTCATACCGAAATTCAAAAAGCGGCACTTCGTAGTTAGGCCTAGACCTAAAGCTATTTAGACCACCGCCTTCATCCTACGCCTTTCAATTGTTTCGATTGATAATTTTGTGAAGAACCATTAAATTGTTTGACACAAAAACTTAGTAATAATTGAAATTCGATAATCAAATTTTAATTCATCCATAATCAAAGATGGGGATGATGTTTCAATTAATCAATTATTGTAGAGCTGGACAAAGTTTTCTTAAGGGGTGAAGCTACTTATTCATGTGACGTCTTGATCTGGATAACTATGACTGTATATAAATTTTATCTTTTTTAGGAAGACAAACCAATTTTGCCTTGTGCCGAAAACCCACTTCAAAGAATGATCCACACAAAAGTTGTCACATGACTAGATCTTTTTAATCTGCGACGGAACGAAATGGATCGAGAGAAAAGTTGGAATCATTTCAACTTTTTTCAAATGTTGCGGCACAGTAGTTTTCTTTTGATCGAAATCGAATGAAAACTCTTTGAAAATAGAGCACGTGCATCATAAGGTAAGGTTCCCGTGGAAATAAGTTTTGATGTGTATTTCAGTCCGAAAAGATCCACGGAAAAAGGGGGACGGATCAGCCGAACACGATCTGATCTTATTCACGGATCTGATCTGATCTATTTCCCTAAGTTGATTTCGGCTTTAGACAAATGTAAATGTTTATCAGCAGGACAAGACAAAATAGAAATTTACCAACCTTCCCACTGTCTCACCATGATAATCGTGTCACCTGATGAATAATAAAACCAATGAAAATTGTCTAGTTTATAAACAAAATACAGTGACTAGTAGAGGATTCTACTTTGTCTTCAAATCATGCTAAGAGGTAACTCAACCTGTTATAAGGTGCAATTTCCCGTATTGTTGGATTAGGCAGGCAGTAACATTTTAAATTTCCAAATGGCTTTCGAAAGAGAAGTAAGCATCAACATACCTTGATTATGAATAAATTTTGATTTTTGAATCAGTATTTTGAAGGCATATAGCTTCAACCAACATATCCAATTTTGGTAACTTTCTGTTTAAATGTGAAAAATTCTATATTCTTATCCTGCTCTAAGCATGCAAATATACTTGCCACTAGCTACCATCTGTAAACTTTGGTCATTTAATGTTTTTTTGAGATGCTCGAAACGATATTCACCAGGGTTGGCTAAAAGAAAATCGATGGCAAAATACCATAGTTTAACTAGTTTGAAAGTAACAAGATATTATATCATTATCCAATAAAAAAATTAAAACGAGGCTAAATACCCAGGAAATTAAAAGAAGGCTAAATAACCTGCTATTAGCGTATTTATTTAATAAAAACATCACAAACCATAAAATTGTAGGAGTGAAAGACCTTACAAGAAAGATTTCGCTCAAAGGACTATATTTTCGAAAATATGGCTTTATTGCGGTAAATATAACTGAAGGCTTTGCTGTAATTTTGTTCTTCTCTTATCTCTCATTTTGCGCTGTTATTCCATGAAAACTGTCTCCTAAAATCGCCTCGTGATAGGCCACCATGATGGCGGTTTTTTTAAAATTTCCTGTATTTTACGGGAGGTTAGAGCAAAAAAAGCAAGGATATGGAAGAGCTTCTTTCAATACATCTTATTGTTGAAAATTGAGATAAGCCTTTTTACAATCTTGTGTCTGTCTGCAAAGAACCTTACGAAGCATTGAACTCTTGGCCATAAGGAACACTTAGATGATATCGTTTGAGCTTGGAAATAGTTTATTATCGTATTCTTTCTTGTCCTTAGATTCATTTTGTTTCGATTTGATTAAGATTAACTGGTACAGTACTATTCTATAAATTTAACTCTCCAGAACTCAACCTTTTAATATATTTGTGAAGGACAGTCAAGCTCGAGCGGTATAGAAAACTACAAGCTTCACATTAACAATTTAACTAAATTGACAATAAATATGACTCCAGTGAGACATGAAACACAAGTTAAAGTTTGTAATTACAAACTACTGTTTAAATAAAAAGCTACGCGGAAACACGTGAAGAACTTAACCAATAATAATAATAAGAAAAATAGGAAAATTGACTAACATGATATAAGCTTTAGCGACGATACAATGTAAGAAAAACAACCGAGTCATGTACTAAAAATAGACACCGAAAAGGAATGAAAACGAGGGTAAGATGTAGGTAGAGCTGAAACGATGTAATAAAAGTTAGTCATTAAACTGATTCGGAAAGTGTGGCTAAACAGAAGGAGGCAAACTATTTGATGACGATAGAATAGGAATAATATATCTAAATGAATGAAGAAAAAGGGGGTATCGTCAATCGTGACATATTTTACAGATAAGTCTAACCTGTTACCCTAAGGTGAGAAATGCCCTTTTACCGTAACGTTTAGAAATCGCTCTCTTGCTTGGATATAAGCTCGAAACTTCAATAGATGCAGGAAAAAGACTTATTCTTATAGAGTACAAATTATAATTTGTTTTTCATTCTTACCTTCAAAAAACTTTTCGAGGTCTCTGATTGTTGTCGTAGGAGTAATCCAACATTTAGCCAAACCCATAAAACCGCCACGGCTTTTCACTGTTATTTCAAACCCTAAAATATAAAGGCTCTTCTTTATATTTCGACAGAGTTAGAGGCTCCTATTGAATTTATAGTCACACATTGATGATGGCCTTTTCTCCCCTTGTCTGCAGTTTCTCGAAAACTATTCACCTTCATCAATGATCAGTTTTCTTCTGATTTTTTGTGGATGATAGATGTTGGACAACCATGGACCAGAGCAATTTACCAGTCAAAATTGACCAATCAATAAGCAATAAGCATATTAGCGGTATCTCGCCTATTGATTGGCCATTTTTGAATTACGGATTGGAAAAGTCGTTAAAGTATCTGCTGATTGCCTTTAAATTCGTCCGCGTTGATAGTAATTTTAATCGCTTGTTACTGCTCTGAAAAATTTGCATCAGGAATAAAAATCCTGTCTGTTAAAAACTGACAAATTTGGACGTGATCAACTTCTTCAGTCAAACATTAACGGTCAATGATAAGTCACATTTTATCTGTTCATGTCAGGCCCCTTTCACACCAGGGCCGTGGGTTTGAGCACTACGTTTGGCGGTCTTCATGTGGCTTGCCTATGTTTCTTTCAGCTAAAAGGAATAAATCAATTTTTTTTCGAGCAATATTTTGATTTATAAATGCCAACTTTCCCGAAATGACCGAGTTTGGGCTCTGTTTACAGCAGAACACTATTCTGCACCCGGTCAGGAAGGAGTGCGCAATCGACTCAATAGTTCCGTTACGATAGTCTTCTTTTTTTTGAGCCAAAATCAAAACGCCAGTTCAGTCTTTGAGAAAAATAATGGAGGGGGGGGGGAGGGGGTCATAATACATGCACATATGGCTAAACGTCTGGATATACTGTACAGTAGAACACCATTTGCATTGTGATCAATATTCTTAAGCCTGGTACTCACTGGACGATTATCACGATTATAACGATAACGATTATCACGAAAAAATATTTCTTGACAGTAGGATCATTTTAGTCATTCGGTGGGCGTTATGTTAAGGATATCTCATCAAACATTCTGATTTAAAAATTGAGAGTGAGAACTTGCAATTCGACGAGAAACTTTCTGAAGCTGTGAGAAAATATCTGTAATGAAATTCGCGTTCGTTCAGTCGTTGTTCTCGAACCAATCCATGATACTCGCTAGAAGTTTTATTTGTGAAAATATCTCTGACCAACAACCTTTTTTTCTTTTTCTTCCTTTCTCTTGATCTTTTCCCTATTCTCTTCTCTGTCTATGTTTTCTTAAGATGTATACAACGCTCATCATTGCAAGGAGTTTTTTATTCCTGTGAACAGTCATTGTGAGTATACGATTAACGCGTCAGTGAGTACACGATTTAGCTGAGCATTTTACTGTCAAGAAATATTTTATCGTGATAATCGTTATCGTGGTAATCGTGATAATCGTCCAGTGAGTACCAGGCTAACGCGAGAACGGTATGAGGCATTCGTGGAAAGAATCTACTTATAATTTCGCAGCATTCATTTGATGTCCAATCTAGAGTGGAAATATTGAAAATGCCGTTAAAATTGATTGAACTCGAAGATGTTGACCATCGAAATTTACGACAGGATGAGACCCACGCGTTCACAATCACCGCAAATGCAAGCTCCCTAAAATTCATATGTCCAACAACCCACTTAGACCTATCTTGTGTATGATTGGCTCAGCAAACACAAACTAAGAGGCTTTCTAAAGCTTTAGATCCTGTTCTTCAAAATATCAGAAAATGAAAGCTTTTTTTAAAATTTGCTGAGTACATTGAAAATATCTAAAACGGTAGCAAAAGAAGTTTTATATTTTCTCCTTTCAAGGACATTCAACCATCGCCAAAAATACTTAAAACACCCAGAAATTTGCGTTGCATTTTTATCTTTAATTTTTTCCTTAAAAAATATTACCTCTACCCCTATCCTCCTAAAACAATGCTAATAGTTTAGACAAATGTCATAAAAGAAACGCAAAAGAAGACCTGTTTTGTAGTACACCAACATTTTTCCGTGAGGGAGAGGGGGTGGCTGAATTTAATCTTGCCAACTGACGTCAGTACTCTAAGACTTTTTGCAGGCAAAACATTCTTGTTAGGAGAAAATCAAGATAAAAGCAAAAACACTGCTGAGGAAAGTTCTTTTGTCCGACACTCGTCGGCGTAAAAATTTCGGACAATGCCGGAAAGTAACCAGAAATTTAAACGCTGATACAGGGCGTAAGAAATGGAGAGGGGGGAATGGGAGGGGGTGGGGTTGATTAGTTCCCTGATCATGACCAATCAGTGACTGCTAGCCTCTAACCGTCTTGCAGAGTCCAGAGCAAAAATGAACTCTTTCTGTCTACATAAATTCCAGAACGGGATTCTTTGTTTTGATGTAAACAGACTCCAAAACATCTCAATAAAAAACAACCTTGCTTGGGCAATGATTTAAAAATTATCTCACTTTTTCTCAAACTTTCTCAAACTGTTGAAAAAATATCGACCTATGGATGAAGAGCATTCATTTTGATCTTCATTTCCATTTGTTTTTTATTTTTGACATATTTACACTTCAATTTACAATTCAATTTAGAGCCAAAAAATTTTACTTGTAACTGCAATCCAAACATTATCCAAACATCACTCCATGCTCTATTTATTTCGGGCACGAACCTGAGATGCTTCAGAATTTTATACTTTAAGAGACACTCCAAAACCGAAAAATAAAGAATTTAAGACTGGAAACTAGTTCAAGAAGAAGTTTGGTTAAGGTAAAGATATGTTTGTTAAATCCCACACTAGCATTCAGTTTTATAATGCTAACAAAATACACAAACAAGCAAAATTGCAAAGAAACAGAGCAATAGTGCAGAAATTTAGTACAATATTACAGGAAATACAAAATACAATACAATCCACACAAAAACATAAACTCATATTAAAGGTATCACTAAGAGCATAAAATTAAACAAAGGTCACCTGCAAAGACCGAGATACAACTTTTTGTCTGGGTGTGGGGGGGGGAGGGGGGGTAGTCCTGATAAATCAATGTAACAACAGCCATGTGTCACAAAATATAAACATTCCACTTATGCAACTTAAGTCTTTTTGGGAGTCCAAACCCCCACCCCCTGGAATCTCGGTCCTTTATCACCTGGACCATAAAGGATAGATAAAAGATTCCCCATAAATTTCTTACAAACTCCCTTATTAAAAGGAATATTTAAATTTGTTTACTTATTAAATATGGTTTGGTAAATAGAAAAGCAAAAAAAAACTGCTGAATCTCACCCCTGTTGTTAGGCTCATTACAGCTGGGCTGAGACATTTCACTTCTTGGAATTATTGTCTGAAAACCTTTTCCTGTTCACCGGCCTGATTGCTTTGTTTTTCTGTAAATAAAGCCATGATACATCTCCGATTAATACATCACGTGAGAATACAACAATAAATTGTTAACCTGCACCTCTGTTTTCTACATCCTTTTAATTCAACAATAAAACTTTCCTTGTGTGTACTTTCTACTGCTTTTAAAAAAATTTGCCTGTAAATCACTTGTTACTGCTCTGAAATTTTTTTTGTATTTGTTTCGTCAAAAAAACTCTCAGGAAATCTCTGAAAAGGTTTTTGGTGAAAAAGTTTTGTCCGGTTGTATCGTTTTTTCTATCTCAATATGTTTGAAATTTCTCAAAACTGGGGTTCTACACGCAAACGCATAGGAGACTTTGAGGGCTGAACCAAAACACCCAGCAAAGTAAGGAGTTCTGAATTTCGGCGTTAGCTGAAGACCCAAATAGGAAAGAGCATATTTCTTTTACTCAAGCCATAGCAAAAAGGCAAGGAAATGCTAGCAGAACCGTTTCGAAGATTCATCTCCCGAACAATCCAAATTTTGCTTGCGCTCGACTGTCGAATATGAACCAAATTTTGCTTGCGCTCGACTGTCGAATATGAAGCAGAGCAGGCTAAAGGTATTGCTGCATGTAATAAGAAATTGACAAGAAGCGCACAGGAAATGCTCAAAGAAGGATGAATTATTGTCAAACGATGATAAGAAAATTGCACACTCTGGGCGAGTTTGAAAAATAGTATACCAATGAATATTAATTACGTAAAACTTCGAGTGCAAGTGATTTTTAGAAGAGGGGACAGGATTTTCACAATTTTTTGACAAGCAAAAGAATAATGCCCATTGCGTTGGCTATACCGGTCTTGTACTTGCGTTTTTCTGAATGGCCTATTTCGATGCACAGCTGGGTATATATTCTTCATCATGTTCTTTTGGACCCTTATTCTGACGTTTTATGCTCAGGGTAGTGTCAGACGAAAAAACTTTTAGCCAGTATGTTATAAAATGTTTGCTTTTTTCAAAGCCATTTTAAATTTTTGTTTGGAAAATATCGTTTTAAGTGCGCTTTGATATTGAAAATGCAGACACTAACATGATTTTTGCAGATGATTACCAAAGTTTCAAGAAAAACCTCCTTAGTACGATTTAGCTTTGACAATAAGATATGTAAATTTCGTGCACTTGAATAGAAGATGAATTTGGTTAAAGCATCTGCATGTTGGTCCAATCTGTTGACTTAGAAATTCAATAGAGATGAGCTTATCTCCGTTGAGCAAAATTATTCTTAGCTGAAAAGAAGCCACTATACAGAAGATGAAGAACGAACAGCGTGACAGAGCAAGGCAAGGTTGCTTGCAAGGACAGTTCAATGTGCGCGATCGAAATTTAGACAGCACGAGCAAACCTAAGGCAATCGATGCTTTTCTTAGGTCTTGTGCACATTCCCAGTTACTAATGGCAACTGCGAGAGTTTTTTTCCAAAGTTACAGATGCTAAAGTATCGTTTAGGAAGCACTGCGAGAGAGGATAGGCTCTAAGTAGTAATGCTAAGGAGTATTAAAAATGTGTTGCTAAACAAGATGAAAACCGTCAAGGCTCGAGCAGTCAAGGAATAGCAAAATCAGACAAATTGTTACTTATTTTATGTTTACTTTTTATTTAGAGTGATAAGCACTTAATGAATAGTTCAACTGTACTACATTATGTTGCCTAGCAATTGATCAACTATAATAAAATGGTCACTTGACCACGCCTTAGTTTATCAGATCACACCGGCCATTCTGTTCTCTGCCAGTCCACCAACTGCTTAAAGTTTGCAACTTCAAAACTTAAAAACATGAAACGAAGACGAGCTGACCGTAGCGAAGAGAGAAAGTCCAAACAAAAACTGGTTGGATTTCATTATCACCTAGGAATAAGTGTGTGTTATGATCGCGCCAGAGATGCTGGGGGGCATCTTAGCAAACTTTGTTTGTAACCGAAGCCTAGAATGTGAAATCGTGAGCCCTGTTAATCTAAGGAAAGGCTTTTTCAGTATCGGTGCGCTTGACAATAATGTTTATAACCCATTTCAGTAACTGATCCTGGTGGGGGATTGGGGGGACACGTCTCCCCCAGTTCTCGGCAGGATCAATTTTGCATTTCGTCTAAATCCAATGAGAAAATGTTGGGGGAGGGGTAATATTTTGGCAATATACTTTTTGTGATGTAGTCCTATGATTTTCAAACAGCCTTTACATAGCCAAAAGTGAGTCATAGGCGTTCCCTTCAGGTAAAAATTGCGTTCCTTAATGATAATAATAATAATAATAATAATAACATGATATACACTCACTTTTTTTATAAGAAACTGGCTATAAGAAACGAGTACTGGAAAGTCAGAAAAAATCAAGAAACTTCAGTACTCGAAGTAAAAAAATTAAGAAACTATTAGATCGTGATAAAACTGAGAATAACAAAATTTTGTAAATTCCTAGAACAAGATTGCCCTGAAGGCCTAGAAATTAAGACACAAGGGATAGAAATATACTTTCCTCGGCTAAATACAGCGTCAGAACGGAAGCGAATCTCTTGATGTGAAAAAAAGGTCATTAAGAAACTCTTAAGAAACAGTGAGTATTGAAATTTCCAGAACATTAAGAAACTGGAGTACTCAACATTGTCCTCTGTTTCTTATAAAAAATGAGTGTATTTAAAGTGGGTAGCCTATAATAATTTATCTACAAAAAGAAAAATTCTTTACAATAGGGTCCACTGTCAAAGGAACGTGAAAATTGAATTCAAAAGATTGTTAGAAAAAGGGCGTTTTCTGGTGCTAAAAGGTGCGTGGTCTAAAATGTTTTGTTTTGTCCCCCCAGAGCGTAGTGGCTGGCGCCGCCATTGAAGTGTCCTACTCCTAATTTGAAAACTGAATTTCCAGAAACTGAGATTAATTTCGAAGTAGAAGGAGCAGTACAAGTTGATACCCTGGGCACTCTTTATAAAATAAGAGAGTCTGGAACCAAGGGAATTTGACCAGAAAATGCTTGGGGAAAAAAATTTGTCCGCTAATCAGAGGTGTTCGCCTTTTTGAGTGTCCGTTTATTGGCGGGAATACTGTACATTCGTTACGCCGCCGACCAATGATGCAGCAGTATACACAAACAATAGCAGAAGGAGCTTTGTGCTGAAACACTGCGCCATTTCACCAAAGTTTAAGCCCCACGCCAGCTGATGTCTTTCTCGTGCCAATGCTATGCCAAAAAACATAGCCCATAGGATCTCAGGGATTAGCTACATGAAACCACTGAATATGGAATTCACCCTGGTTTGTATTTCACGAGTAGATAGTCTAAATCGCTGACATGAATAAATAAAATTGCAAATGGCCTGAAAGAAATTTCATTCAAAGTTCCAGATAGTCACAGTGGTGGCGTCGTTAGGCCTATATTTCACAAGGTTCAGAATAATGTACCTTTTCTATCAAGAGAAAATTGAAAGTTCTAGGAAAAAGTTAGCAAATTGATGCAGAAAAAAAAATTTACTTATTCTTTTAAATTACTTAGTCTCAAAATGTTGTAAATGCTAACTGACTTGTGCACTGAATTGCGCGTTGGTGCATTTTGGCGCCAAACCCTGATATTCGTTCAGTATTTTCTGGCCTCTATTCTTAAGACAAAACAATGAGCAAATCTCTTTGGAAAACACCCAACGTTGTGGGCATCCAATATAAAAATTGCAAACGAAACTTTCATTTATCAAACAAACTCTGTTTGAGCTATTGATTAGTTACTAACAATGACGTTTACTCCGGTTTTTATTGCACGCTTTCATGCTGTGAGCTGTAAGATGATACCTTGTCTACGTTTTTCGTTTTAATTGTAATCGCCGTTATGTTATAAATGAATTAATCTTAAATCGCTTGTTTCTTTGCATAAAAGTCCTGATTTAAACATATATCAGGTTCTTAGAATATATTTTAAGCGGTTTGCTTGTTGTCAAAATATGCCTACATAAATTTTGCAGCAACACAAATTGTAGACAGCAATTCCCAGCAAACCTTAAGAATCTGGTTTCTAATAAAATACTATATATTGTGTAAGACTTTATAGAATATCATATAGAGGTCTATTATAAACTGTTTTAGGTGGGAAAGGGCCGTTATTAAAGGACTGGTTCAATGTTTTTTAAGTTCCAAAAAATGGGCCTAGGTACGTTTGCCGCCATTATTCCTTTGGGCTCTCCATACCACTGCATAAATACCCCTCCAAGCATAAATACTACACAAACTGGCTATAAAACAGGTCCTTAATACCAAAATAGAACTCCGAAATCTTTAAAAAACCAGTAGAAGTAATTTGTCAAGAGTAACATACCTTTCAAGCCGTTGCAAACCATCCACTCAAACTGCGCGCCAAAATCAACGATTTGGCAGGGTCAAAAGTTCAGAAGGAATTGTTCATTGCCAGACATTATTGAAAGACTAAACCAATCGTTAAAGGCCAGGAACGTCTATGATTGATATGAATGTTCAGGTATAACTTTGTGAGAAAACAAATAGGCAAATTTCATGTTTAACGACTTACCTGGCTTAAAATATCTGATGGAACCATTGGGTACACATTCGATTTTGCAGAATTGACCCGGCAGGTTGAGCCTTTGCACAAACTTGCGAGATCTCATTAAGGTGAACTGCAGATACTTACTTTGGGCCTAAGTTTTTAAATTGTTCGTTCACATAAAAGTACAGCAAAAAGAATAAAAAGTGGCAGACCTGTCAACCTTAAATTTTCAAAACATTGAGATTTTCGATTTTCCTAAAGAAAAGCAGAGAGATTTGGTCAAAAACAGGGAGATCGGCAAACAGTTTATGACAAAGGTGTTCATGAGAAGTATCTTCATAATAACTTTTAGTGCCTTTTTGTTAATCAGTTAGCACTAACAAACAATTGCTGTCATGAGGAAGTCAATGTGACCATTATATCTTAATTATACCTCTGTAAAAAGAAAACATGCACAATGGACCTGTCTTTGAAGCATGAGATGCGCAATTCATTCAAAATATTCGGTGAAGAATCTTCCTAGACATTCTACCAGACATCTTTGAAACCAGGAGAAAAATTTTAAAAAACGGTAGACCGGGAGAAAGCAGTCAAAACCGGGAGGATTGACAGGTTTGAAGTGGAGTACCACAAGGGTCCGTTCTAGGTCCTTTGCTCCTTAACATTTCATCAATTCCACAGATGATAACACTATATACTCATGTGGGCCAGATCTACATGAAATTTTCACCAATTTGGGAAATGATCTAAGTAGATTGCTAGAATGTTTTGTAAATAATGGCATGGTTGCAAACCCAAAAAAACCAGCTAATCCTGAAAGGGCAGAGAGGACTATCAATTAACATAAGTGAGAACAAATTGTCTGCAACAGATCATGTTAAATTGCTAGGAATTGAAATCGACAACAAATTAAAATTCAGCAATC